TCAAATGATACGAAGATTCTTTGGAACAATGGATACTGAGGAATAAAAGTAGGGTCTGGTTCTTCTCCATCTTCTGAGACTGGGGTAGGAGGCAGCTCATAATTTATGACTGCTAAGCTACTAGGGTTTGTTTTCTTAATTTCCTCAACATATGTTGGTAGCAACACATACTGGCTTTCATGATCACCCTCCAGATCCTCCTTACACTTTCTTTTAGCTCTATACAATTGCATTCTTGAGGCCTCAATCCCATAAAGTTTGTTAAGCTTGACTTGCATAGTGTCTAACCCCATGTGTGGATTCTCTTTAAAACTATCAACCAATTTCTTGGCAATCCAAGTTGATGTTGCTTCACTATTTTGGTTCATCCTACTACACGTGTGATTAGCTACCAAGGTTTTGATCTTGTAAGTGATCCCATCTAGAAGAGAAGAAGCATGAATCCTCCAAGGGCATCTCTTAGCAGCACAATAGGCTGTCACTTTGGCTTTCTCATTTTTGTCCCTCACTATCTTGAAACCAGTGTGCACTGCATAGTCCCTCAATGTAGCTCTGAACCTATGCATCTGGAAAAATCATTCCCTTTTCTAATACCACTTCTCCTTCTTGATTGAAATACGATTCTTTTCCACTGTAGGTACTATCAAATTGGTTGCCTGGATATGCCATCTCTTCATTATCCATCCACTCTACTTTACCATCAAATTCATTGTCACTACTAGAATATCTTACTTCATCATCACCATATTGGTAATCACTAAGTACGTCATCATCATCTTCATTTGACTCCTCGTTACCCTCATCACTCAAACTCTCAGTTCCATTTGATGCATGTTCATCATTAACAGTTACATTCCAATCCCTATCCTCATCACTAAACCCATAGACATTGTCCTCACGGTACTCTTTATCTACATCTATAGTATGTACTCCATCACCTCTACTATTTCTATCTCCAACATCATTTATATCTTTACCATCTTCCATTCCAAGAGAATATGCAATATCAACATATAAATTAATTGTTTTACTCCTACCTTGCACATAAAACATATCCAACACATCAAGATCATTTTCTATTAATCTCATATTCTCAGTACCAGGTATATCACAATGCAATGTGATAGCTATTGCTTCACTACAAGCAATGTGAGAGAGGACTGTTACAGTCACATCCTTGAAGGCATCAATGTAGCAATACATATTTGGGTCCACATCATATACTCTGCCACTTTGCCTTTATAGTTGATGATTAGATCAAAATAAGGGAATGCAATCATACTATGATCACAATGAGTAACAATTAATTACAAAACAACTCATTCAACAATTACTCACCCAAATATAACAAAATTCATAAGTAGGAGACATAAAAAAAAAAAAACCATAATAAAAACTCATATAATCATAATTGTATAACAAAAACAATTAAAAAAATTCCTTAAATCATTATTCTAAGAAAATTAAGAAGAAAACTGTTTTTTACAATAAATTGACAAAACCAAATCCTCACTTTTATAACAAACATAAATAAAAGTTCATATAATACAATTATAATTGCATAAAATCAAAAATCATAACAAAAAGAAGACAAAAAAAAAAAATTTGTCGAACATTTAAAAAAAAAAAAATGGCTTGGCCGATTGACCGACCTGACATCCGGCAGGATATCCCTACGGACGGCCGATCACCCAACATCTCCCAATTAAACTGCTCATCCGTTCATAAAGGTGTACAAATCCGAAAGAGATTACGAATCCGAAAGGGACTACAAATCCAGAGTTTCAAAATCAAAACAAACATGAGCTAAATGACTGTTACTCCAGAAAACAAACAGGATGAAGTATGAAAGAACTGGACTGCTACTCTAGAAAACAAACAGAGACGAAGTATAAAATGTTTGAAATCTTACCTGGAAGCCCTAAAACCAACTTCTCACCGATCAATCTCTTTCACATTTTGCATTGGTAATGATGATCTCACCAAAATCTCAACTTTATTCGTCGTTTGTTCACACCGATTGGTCTTCTTCAAAGATTTCGTCTCTCTCTCTCTCTCTCTCTCTCTCTCTCTCTCTCTCTCTCTCTCTCTTCTTTCTCCTACAAATTCTATCGAAATCAGAATAGAAAGTGAATTAGGGATTTAGGGTACAAAGGTTATTATCATCTTTTCATGCTCCAAAGCAAGGGTAATAAGGTCATTTAGTATATGTAAGTAACGTCGTTTGTGCTAATTTAGGGAGCTTCTATTTGCACACATCCATTCCACTTTGTGCATACGCTTAATGATAATTATTTTTATTACAATTTTATTCCCAAGTGAAATTACTATTATGGACATCATACTGTTTACTTGAATTTTTGAAGGGCCGAACCAAGCACATGACTAATTTAAGCAATAAAATGCTTCGAATAATATCAACAAAGTGCTTCGAATGATATAATAGCACCAATGAAGTGTTTCGAATGAGTATGAAATTATGACTAGATGTCTCGAATGCTAGCTATTACAAACTAGTAACAAGCTTCGAAGGTGGTACAAAGGACCAAAATCATCTTTCGAAGGTTGAAAGTGCCGACAAAGGACAAATTACATCCTTAGAAATACTCGGCAAAGTTTCGAAGGTTCACAACCACCATTATTGTTTCTTCGAAGCTGTTAATGCAAGATGGAGTGCTTCGGAGCTTACAAAATTATGGCAAAAGAGCCTTCGAAGCAGCTTTTGGCCAACATTGTAGTTATTCACATTTTGTATGTTCTGGTTCATACATAATTAATGAAAATATTAATTTTGTGCTTCGAACCAATTATTAATTCTTTGAAGACACCAAAACTGTTATTCTTCGAACCAACTTATCATGCCAAAAACAGGTATTATTCGACAACTAATTAATTGTCATTTTACATATATTTGAAGAGATGTATACATTTCGAAAGTTTTCAAAGCTTTATACAGTTTTGAATGTGAAGTAGTCAACCTTCGAAACAACTCTTGATGTTTCAAATGTATCTTCAAAGCTTTATACAGCTTCGAAGGTGAAGTAATCAACCTTCGAAACAACTCTTGATGCTTCGAATGTATCTTCGATGCTTTGATTGTGTACATACAAACGACTGGCCATCAATTTGAAAAGATAAGCCATTCTCAAACATTTATTTAAATGCACAGGCTTTTTCTAGCCAAGTTCATGCATTTTAAATGGTCATCCCTTGTTTTTAGTGCTTCGAACTCATAAGAACAATTTGTTAATTTTATTAGCCACATCATCAGAATTATATTTTGATGTGAACCACAAATCCAAAAAGGATTTTGAACACCAAAAGTCATGGTGTGGTGTGACCATGAAAATTCATACTTTTTGACATTTTGAAAAATGTCAAAAATTTTGAATTCATGAACAATGGCTTGTTCATTATTCTTGACCATGTTTGTTTTAAAAACATGACTTTTGCCGAATGGATTTTCATAATTATTTGGCAAAGTGGGTTGTTTTTCCATGTTAGCCATTAATGACTTATGAAAATCACCCATAGATATGTTATTTTCATGACTTGACTCTCTAAAATTTGATTTTTGGACCCCCCCGAGTCATATATGGAATATCATTCTTAGCCAAATTTGGCTCAAGAACATGCTCTTTCATTGTGTTAATTTCATAATTTGGCTCTTTTAAAACGGACTCTTGAACCCCCCGAGCCATTGATGAAATCAACTCTTTGGTTTTGCTATTTTTAACCATGGACAAATTCTGAAAAAATTCACCAATTCCGGCCATTAAAGCCTCAGTTAAAGACTTGGTAGTGAGAGTTGATAACTCATCATTCCATTGGCGAATTTCCATATCAGGTTGATAAATTTCTCCAATTAAATGGTGTCTTTTTTCTTCCTCCAAATAATATTGTATGGAATGAAAGTTTATTTCATCAAGAAAATGGATCTCTTCTTGAAGATCCAAAATTTCTCTTTCACGCCAATATATTTCATATTGACAAGTTCGAATGGTGAAATCCAAATCGTTTGTCATTTCTTACACTTGGCTGTCCCACTAGGCGTGCCAAAAATTGTTGGCTTATTTTTCCTATGAAGAAAAATATCATAAATGCGAGCGTGCCAGCAAGAATTGAAAAATCTTTACAGATTAAATTCAAGCCAATTATCAAGCGATTGCGTTGACGGTTCTTTTGCCTCAACAAAGAGAACTTCAAAATTGCCAAAGTGTAGAGAAAAGAAAAAGTAAAAGAAGAAAGAGGGACGGAGAAGGACGATTGAGTGAACAATCAAAGTAATAATTACTTACCTCTACTCCTATGCTTCGAAAAGGAAGTGCATAAAATGCATCGAAATGAAAATACTGAAAATAAATGCTTCGAAATATAAATTTATGTTAAACTACTCCTAAGATAAGAAAAATGACAAGAAATATTGAAATCAAGTGCCTTTGATTTAAGTTCTGGATCTTTTACAATGTAGCCATTAATGGCTATTTATAGAAGAAAAAATACAGCAATAACTATTTAGTAACTACCCATTCTTCCATCTTCATTCTTGTCTTGCCATGTGTCCTTCCACTCATTCACTTTGTCCTCCCACTCATCCACTTTGTCCTTTATATTCTCCATTATCTCTATAACTTCTTTTAATTTCCAAATGAATAAGAGAATGTCACATGTCCTACAATTGTATAAATAATAAATAATAATAAAAATTGCAGATTTATGGTGCTAACACATACACAATTCAAATAAACACATTCGGAGTTGAATGTCGAAAAAATGAAAAAAAATTCGAAATTCTACAATCGAAAGAAATGATAATTTTCGGAATGCGACTTCCGAACAAGTTTATTTTTGGAATGCTACTTCTGAACAAGTTATTTATTGAGAAAGATGTGCATAGAGTATAATGGGTGTGTGTAAATAGAAGCTCCCGCTAATTTGACGGAATGAGAAAATTTTGACAATATTAAGGAAAACAAAAAAAAAGTTTATGTAATTATTCAAATTACAAAAGGCTCTTGCATTTGTGAAAACCGCACGAGAGTGTAATTTACCGATTTATCTATAACTTATACATTTGAAAGCCTCACCGGAAAATTCGTAGTAGTTCCCGAGAGATTACAGAGTGGGGTGTGTGGGGATGCAGTGGACGGTTGAGATTCAGCCAGAAATGGCGGTGACGAGAGCACTGACACCGAGTCTCCTACCAGCCGTCCGATTCGAGGCCACAGAGTCCCGCAACGGTGCTCCTCCTCCGCGCAATCCAAGACCCCCTCTTCCCCTCCTCTCTGTTTCCAAGCCATCTTGGATCGTCAAAACTGAGGTAAACCCATATCTCTCTCTCTCTCTCTGCCTGTTTGGTTGCTGAGAAAATCGAGGAAAAGATAAAGAAGGTAAAATAAGCAAGAGCAAATTGCATATACTAAACTGTTTTATGTTGAACATTTCATACTTTAATCATCAATATTCTTTAATTCTTGTACAATATTGTTTGCATTTTATGGTCTTTTGGATGTGCAAATTTGAATTTTAATTATCTGAGATATTAACCAAGTTGATGTGAGTTGTGAATTTGATATGCAAACAATGATATATCTCTATATATACATATGTGTACTCAAACAAAATTATTTGCTATTATTGCCTGCTAAATGACTCATGATAATTCATGTATGGATTGTGAGGAATTTTGTGAAGTTTCATGAAAAACTTAATTAGACAACTGCCAAAATTTGTAGACAAGTTACATTTTGTACAAAATACAAATTCATATATATGCAAGTTCGAGTGCATTATGCATTTAGTACAATTTTCTCCCCCTCCGCCCCTGCATCTCCCACCCTTCCTAACGAGCAAGTGGGGCGGGGACGGCTTTTGTTTTCCCCACCCCAATTATATTTATTCAATTTATTAGATTATATATCCCTTAACCTTTTTTTCAATATAGTAAGATTAATATATTACACTTAACGTTCATTTTCACCCATTTATTTCTCATCTTACATCTTTTAACTTTCATTAATTACAAAATTTTATCCATAGTATATTATATTGTCTATGAGTTTTATTAATATTCTGATTTTTTAAGTTACAAAAGTAACCCGCCCCTAACCTGCTCCCACCTTGCCCTTGACTACAATCCGATTTGCCCCATCCTAGATATAATAAGGAGTGTGTGTAGGGTTACAATACAAACCCACCCCATTGCCATCCCTATGTGGAGGTATTTTGGGATCTTTAAATTATGACAATTGACATGTAGACACACACTAATATTGAAAGATTGGAAGGGATTGAGTTTTGAAACAAAAAGTATCTTCTTTTTTGTGTTTTCTTCATGCTGGCGTAAATTTTTTTTTTTTTTTTTTTCTTCGTTTCTTGTATTGGCAATACTAGAAGAAGGGGAAAATTTTCCTAATAATGTTTTCAACCCTGAGCAAATGTTTCAACATCTACTTGTTGCAGTCAAATGTTCGGATAGAACAAAAAAAGAAGCCTGATCCACCTTGCTTGGTATGCTCAGGTAGCGGAAGAGTTGATTGCCACCATTGCCGTGGAAGAGGTCTCTCTCTCTCTCTCCTTTTGTATGTAATAGCACCGACAATTTTTGGCATTGTCAAGCTTAATTTGTGAGTTTAATTAATATGAATTCTAGATCGAAATGTTGCCTAATCTAATATGAAGAGCACTTTCCATATCAGTCGAAATTAAAGAAAGACCAAGTTAGCTTGCAGCAATATGAAGCAACATTCTTCGTCATGAAGTAGAGCAGTGTAAAGCAATGAGAAACTAATTGCAATTATGTAGATCAATATTGAGGAATCATTTATACATAAATTGAAAGCTTTCAGATTTGACAAATACTAGACAATGTTGATATACACAGCTGTCTTGTCCTTGTAAACTGTAATGGCTTCTTGGATAGCATATTACATGTATTAATGTTGTACTTTCGCGTGCTAGATTTGCTTAATGACTGACTGTCTTCAATAATTTCTTATTGTATCTGGAATTTTTTTTTGCTGTGTAGTCAAATTTATTTATTTTTGGTTCACCAGCTTTTATTGTCCGAATCATATTCGGACCTACTAATATTTGTCATTTCGCTTCACGTTGGGTAGGGCAACTCATTATTGGGGAATTTGGTCACAACTGAAGAGGAAATGGTTCCTTTTTCCAAACACTTCGAATCAGATTACAAAATTTTGATTTCTCTTTGATTTCTTTACATCATAAGACACAATTTCGCTAAGGTGAAATGAAGCCCCTTCACAGAAATGATACCTAGTCAATGAAAATGAGTTTATTGACATGATTTTTCAAGTGATCTAAATGTCTTTATAAACACACTGGAATAATCTTGTTTCATCTGGCATTCAATTAACATGTTTAAAAATTATAGACACTGTAGCTTTATGAATTGTTTCATTTTTCTATTCCCAAATTTACGTGTCTCTCGTATTACTGTTCTTATGTTTTAAGATCTTAGGCAGGACGAATTCTGTTCATCTAATGATGCTTCCGAAAGGGGAATGGCCAAAATGGTAAGGCACCAAGCTTTATGATATGTTAATTTAAGAAGTGGTTTTTAAAATAATTTCACCAAAACTGCCCATAACCACTCTTTGCAGGTGCAAGACCTGCGGTGGTAGTGGCCTCGGCTATTGTTCTCGTTGTGTTGGGACCGGAGAGTACAGGTATATAATGGGCTTTCATTTCATGAAGAGGGAATCGAATGACACACAAAATCACAAAAAGTATAAGGTTCGTGATTACTCTGGACCTCAGACTGCAGCTGATTTTCTTCTAAATGGTGAACAACCAAACTCAAATCAATGTCCAGGCTAGCAGTGAATATAGCGTTATGTGGCCATGCAGAAACTCCAAGTAAGCTAATAGCTCTAATTGTGGGGATTTCTTAGAAAATATGCCCTTGTTTGTGTCCTTTGCTTTGGAGTTGCTAGATTAGTCGCAACTGTTTTGTAACTAGTAAACTATCACCTCAGAAAGATAACTCCCTGGACCGTTCAATTTGTATGTTTAATTCTTAATCATGAATTGGGTTTTCATGTCTGGAGCAGCTAATTTTAGCTGTAGATATGCGTCGAAATGTATCAAGGGATTGTTGCTTCAAAGTAGTCGTAACAATGGAAAATCTGTTACGATGTTTATTTTCTAATCATGAATTTGGTTTAATAGCCTGAGTGGCTAATTTTTTTAATGTCGATGTGTATGAATGTATCACGAGGTTGTTGCTCCAAATTATCTTTCCTCATTTTCTCTATTGCATAAAGTGAACTGTTTGTTCCATGAAAGAGAGACTATGATAAACACATCTAGAATCCCCATCTTTGTTGGAAGGAAGCTTTTTTTATTTTGATTTTTTTAGGGGTTTTTTTTAAATTTTATTTTTTATTTTTTAAAATTCATTCATTTATTTTAATTTTGTTTTTAGTTACTACAAGAATCTATAAGTGGCTAAACCCACCTTCTAAATAGAGCTTCCAAGCTAAATATAGGTCCACGTGTTCCCTGAGAATGAGGAAGCCCAAAAATAGAAAAATCCGTAAGTTGTGTTTGGATTATAGATTTAAGAATTTGAATAGGAAATGAAAAATGCAAGATAATTTAGGCTGGTTTGGTAATTTTAAAAAAAGTCAAAAAATTATTAAAAAAGTTAAAAAGTTATCACTATTCACTAAAAAAAATATAAAATAATTAATATACATAATATTAAAATATAAATCAACTTTACGATTTTTTAGAGACTGACGTCAAAGCAAAGACTGAAAGGAAGGCAAAAAAAAATATAAAATAATTAATATACATAATATTAAAATATAAATCAATTTAAAAAAAATATAAAATAATTAATATACATAATATTAAAATATAAATCAATTTTACGATTTTCTAGAGACTGACGTCAAAGCAAAGACTGAAAGGAAGGGATCAAAGCAAAGACTGAAAGGAAGGCAAAAAAAATTACATGTGTATACTCACTAAGTTGGATGGTAAAGTTGTACCTGTGGGGGCTCATCATGGGTTCCGTTTTGATGATTCGAACCGTTCAATAGGTAAAACTCGTCTAGTACTATATGCCTATAAAAAATCACGTCTATCGGATATCGCTAACTACATGATCAAATCGTTTTTGTATAAAAAATGGATGGTGTTATAGTTAACAGTTGACAAAAGAAACTAACACAATCAGATAGCTATCGATATTCAATCAACGTGATTTTTTACAAGCATATAGTACTCGACGAGTTTTACATATTTAATGATTCCAATTAGAAAAACGGGACCTGTGGTGAGCCCCCACGAGCTGAACAACACCGTCCAATCAAAACCCGAAAGAGACAATCTTTTCCCATCTCCTATCCAGCTACCCAACTCGTACGGATTAATTAATTATCTTCTCCTACACACTTATTTATACAATATTTTAATACACATTTTTTCATAAAAAGTCAAAAAATTAACCCAAATATCCATATTTTTTCCCTCAACTTTTTAATTCAAAAAGACAAAAAATACATTTATTTATGACATCCCAAACAACCCCTAAATCTCTATTCAAATAATACATTAGAATAAATAAATAGTAAAAAGTGCAGTGACCGAAGAACAAAAAAAATTTTCTTGCATGAATTTTGTTAAGATTGAAATTTTGCAAGGAAAAAGAGAAAATACAAGAATTCTAATTCTAATTAATTACTTTTATAACAATTTAAACTTTCTTATAAATTTAAACTTTATATTTTTCTTTGTTTTTTTTGTAAGAAACTAGTAGCTTAGAAGCTTATTTTCCCTGGATCCTTTGTTTCTTGTAACTTTTACAACTCTCGTGCTAAACAAACTCAAAATTTTTTTTGCTAACAAATCAATCATAGCAAATGCTTCGCACAATCTAAAAGCATTAAACAAATGTAAAGCACATTGTTTGGTAACAGATCAAACTTGAAAGTTAGGAATGAAACAAACAACCTCAAAATTATTACACCAGTAAACAAAAATGTGAAAACTATAAAACAAACTTGTGTATTTATACTGGATGGAAAAGCAAATCCCTCCGATAAAATTCCTCAATGCCAATATACAATACTTTGCATCATCAGACCTACGCACTATGAATACTGGGCTAGACCCAAGAGTGAAGTTTTGTCAACATATTGGTATAGACAAGGAAACAACAAGCTGGGGTTCACCGGGTAAAATTTTTCACTGCAATACAGTTCAATCAATGCCGTATGAGAATTCAGCGTGCCAGATATGATGGCGAGGCACGTGAGTGCCTTGGTTGGCGTGCCCGTTTGTCGTCTGGCGTCAAGTGGCGCGCGATACGCGTGGCGGCCTCGGCTATTTAACCAAGACGGAGGCTGAGGCGGAGGCAGAGGCGAAGACAAAAAACTTGCGAAAATCCTTGGAAAAACTCTTCCGTTTCTGAGAGAGAGACTTTGGAACATTCTATTGCCCAGAAAATGGCTTCGTCTTCCCGTGGGCTGCTCACTCTCTTTCCCGACCTCAACGAGTCCACAGGAGAGAGAACTGGTGCGGTGGCCAGTGAACCTCAACCAAACACCGCTGGGTTTGCTCCGTTGAACTTTCCGATGCGGTCTGTGGAGCAAAAAATGGCGGTGCACTCGCCGACAACTTGGCACGACTTTTGATGGCTCGTCTTTTGATGCAGTTGGCACGCCTTTTGATGATTCGGGCACGCCTTTTGATGACACGCCTTTTGAGGGTGCAGGCACACCTTTTGAGGGCACGCCTTTTGAGGGCTCGATATCTATCTATATGTATATTTTTTGGGCAGCCTATATCCACACTCATACAGTGTCTTCTACACCGGTCCGCTTTATCCATCCCTTTGTTTCAACCTCAAATAGGTTTCTATCTTCACACCTATTTGAGTTTGAGGGGGGGTTATACACAGTATCATGTATAAGTCACTCATGGCGCACTCCCTAAGTCGCCTCCTCGGTGCACCACCACAGCTTCTTCAACGGTCCGACATGACCCCGTAAACTGTTCTGCTACAACGGTCCGACATGACCCCGTAAACTGTCTTCTACATCGGTCTGACACACAGTGTCTGCTACAACGGTCCGACATGACCCCATAAACTGTCTGCTACAACGGTCCGACACGACCATACAGTGTCTCCTATCCCATTTTTAATTGTCAGCTTATTTTTCTGTTTTGTTACTCTCTCCAAACTCAAGTTGGCTAGTACCTATCCTCCTTGAGTTTGAGGGGGGCTGTTAATGTAAATTGCAAATAATAAATCACCACTCCACCTACCACCTCCACTACCACCCACTCCACCTACCACCTCCACTTCACTCCACCTACCACCTACACCTACTACCACATTTTCTTCTATATATATGATCATTGTAAACATAACAATACACAACAGTACTATTTTTTAAATAATTTAATAAACAGTTTTCCAAACACATACTTTCTGATATCCGATCAACTTGATTTTTTACAGGTATGATATACTGAATAAATCATAAAATATGAACGGTTCGGATTATTAAAATTGGACCTAAAAGTAGACCCGAAAACTTGCAAGGACGAGTGCAAGCACGAAAACTGCAAGGAAAGGATCCTCACTCAGAAAACACCATTGAAATGGCACACTACCACATGCACGTGATTGCCACGTGGATGTCGACATTTCCGAGACCGACCTGAATTTATCCTAAAGCCTCAAGCATGAGGTTAGCAGTGCCTTTATAAGAGCATCTCCAGTAATCCTCACCAAATTAACTACCCAAAATTTCACTTTATTAATTTAGCTAATCCTTTTTTCAATACACATTCCAGCAATACTCTTTACTTTAACTATCCCCTTTAAAATATTATTTCTTTCAACTTTACTTATATATATATATATATATTAATATATAAATTTGTAAATAGTTTGATCATCATTAATACATAGAAAAAAAGGAATAAAAAAATATATAGCACATGAACAGTTGCTAGCTTCAGGTAGCTAGCAACTGTTGCTTGGATCAAATTGTAGAAGGATCTGATGAGGCTGCTGGAGGTCTCTTTTTTGGCTTTGACTTGCTACTTTGGTTGAAAATAGGATATAACAAGCCTCTTGGAGATGCTCTAAGTGGCTAAACCCACCTTCTAAATAGAGCTTCCAAGCTAAATATAGGTCCACGTGTTCCCTGAGAATGAGGAAGCCCAAAAATAGAAAAATCCGTAAGTTGTGTTTGGATTATAGATTTAAGAATTTGAATAGGAAATGAAAAATGCAAGATAATTTAGGCTGGTTTGGTAATTTTAAAAAGTCAAAAAGTTATTAAAAAAGTTAAAAAATTATCATTATTCACTAAAAAAAAAATATAAAATAATTAATATACATAATATTAAAATATAAATCAACTTTACGATTTTCTAGAGACTGATGTCAAAGCAAAGGCTGAAAGGAAGGGAAAAAAAAATTACATGTGTATACTCACTAAGTTGGATGGTAAAGTTGTACCTGTGAGGGCTCACCATGGGTCCCGTTTTGATGATTCGAACCGTTCAATAGGTATAACTCGTCTGGTACTATATGCCTATAAAAAATCACGTCTATCGAATATCGCTAATTACATGATCAAATCGTTTTTGTATAAAAATAGATGGTGTTATAGTTAACAGTTGACAAAAGAAACTAACACGATCAGATAGCTATCGATATTCAATCAACGTGATTTTTTACAAGCATATAGTACTCGACGAGTTCTACATATTGAATGATTCCAATTAGAAAAACGGGACCCGTGGTGGGCCCCCACGCGCTGAACAATACCGTCCAATCAAAACCCGAAAAAGAGACAATCTTTTCCCATCTCCTATCCAGCTACCCAACTCGTACCGATTAATTAATTATCTTCTCCTACACATTTATTTATACAATATTTTAATACACATTTTTTCATAAAAAGTCAAAAAATTAACCTAAATATTCATATTTTTTTCCTCAACTTTTTAGTCCAAAAAGATAAAAAATACACTTATTTATAACATCCCAAACAACCCCTAAATCTCTATTCAAATTCATGATCTAAATACATTAGAATAAATAAATAGTAAAAAGTGCAGTGACAGAAGAACAAAAAATTTTTCTTGCATGAATTTTGTTAAGATTGAAATTTTGCAAGGAAAAAGAGAAAATATAAGAATTTTAATTCTAATTAATTACTTTTATAACAATTTAAACTTTCTTATAAATTTAAACTTATATTTTTCTTTGTTTTTTTGTAAGAAACTAGTAGCTTAGAAGCTTATTTTCCCTGGATCCTTTGTTTCTTGTAACTTTTACAACTCTCGTGCTAAACAAACACAAATTTTTTTTTGCTAACAAATCAATCATAGCAAATGCTTCGCACAATCTAAAAGCATTAAACAAATGTAAAGCACATTGTTTGATAACAGATCAAACTTGAAAGTTAGGAATGAAACAAACAACCTCAAAATTATTACACCAGTAAACAAAAATGTGAAAACTATAAAACAAACTTGTGTATTTATACTGGATGGAAAAGCAAATCCCTCCGATAAAATTCCTCAATGCCAATATACAATACTTTGCATCATCAGACCTACGCACTATGAATACTGGGCTAGACCCAAGAGTGAAGTTTTGTCAACATATTGGTATAGACAAGGAAACAACAAGCTGGGGTTCACCGGGTAAAATTTTTCACTGCAATACAGTTCAATCAATGCCGTATGAGAATTCATCAATCAATGCCCAAGCTGGAAAATGATTCGAAGCCACCCTGACAAAAATAAAATAAAATCAAGATGAGTTTGGTCATTGCATTTCATTTTTTGAAGTGAACACAAAACAATGTAAACATCTCAAACTAGACTAATATACTTGGCATAGAGAAACTATCAGAGTTGGAAGTAAAAACTAGACAAAAGCACATGTGCAAAGAAGAGTGATTTCCAAACACAGACAGCTCTGTTCTCTCTTTTAATTTTATTTTCGGCGGTTAAATAGATTCTCATTTAAATTCTCAAATGTGATCTATTTCAGCATTATTTGCCGTCTTCTGGAAGACCGATGCATCACTGGCTAAGAAAAGGTATTCATAGGGACAGCTGCAACAAAATGGCATTATCATGTCTAATGAAGTTAATTAACAAATTCAGTTGATTAATTTATTAATCCAACTACACCAAGAGGCTACTCACAGAGCAATCATCATGAACACGCCAAATGGTCTCGCCCAGGAGGTTAGCCACAGACAAGACTGTCAGCTGGGGAAAATAGTTCTGCTCCAACACTGGAATGGTATTTGTTATGATCACCTCTTGAAACAGGCCACTTGACAACCTTTCTATTGCAGGAGGACTGCAAAAATGTGAACTCAAATTAAAATTCTGTGTAAAAAACAGTTTTAAGGCATTTTGAGTATCGAAGATGACACTACCAACTTCCTGGTTCAACAACAGCATGACAATTACTTTAGCTAGCAACCTATAAATACATCCCACAAACTTGATAGATTAAAAATCTTTCAACTCTATAATACCTCCTTACTAAGTGACTAAAGGCAATAAATAAGACATAAAATTCTCTAAAAAGAATCAACTCTTGTGAAAATAATGGAAAAAAGCCATGATATCCCCCAACAAATCTCTATGTAACCATAAAAAATGTCATAATGAAACCATCCGGACCCAATGCCTTGCCCCCATTGCAGTCTTTCAAAGCTCCAAAGACTTCCTCTTTTGTGAACTGCTGCCCTTCCAGATTTTTCGATCCCTTATCGGAATAATGTCAAAGTCCAATCAATCAAGACGAGGTATCCTGACAAAAGTCTCCTCATAAAACTCCTCATAGCACTGTACCCCTCCACTCTGAATCTCCTCCTCCCTCCTTGTCTCTTCCTCATCAATCACCAAGCTTTCTTTCTATGTAGTTGTGCCTCCTGTGGGAATTAGTCAAATTGTGAAAAAAATTGGTGTTAATATTTCTTTCCTTCGCCTTATGCCTCCAATTGATCTCCTTCATAAGAATAGTCTGCGGCTTCATCCTCAGTAAGATCACCTTCCTCTTTCCTGAGACCCAAAGCCTTGGTTTTTTGGACATTGAAGCCACCAAGCACCTCATTCCATTTTTTAACCTCATTCTTGAGCTAAATAGAATTTTAGGTTGCGTTTGGTAGAACTTTAGAATTATGATTTAAGAATAGAATTGTATTTTGAGTTTGTGAATTTTGGAATTATGATTTGAGTTAGGAAAATTTGTTTGGTTATAAGTTTTGAAAAGAATTTTAAATTGAGTTTGAAATAATTGATGTGACATATTATATTTGATTCAAAAACTTACAACTCAACCAAATACACAACCCAAAATTCTATTCAAAGCTCATAAATTTTTTTTAAAAATTCGGAAAATATTTTTTGTTTAATATATAAAAAATAACAGGTGTCAATTGCAAAAAAAAAAAAAAAATTAAATTGTTTGGGTCAACCGGCAAAAGGTCCGGGAGGATGACTGGGTAGGCCAAATTTCAAAATTCAAATCCCGCTTGAAACGAGTTTTCAAAAGTGTGGAATTAAGTTTTGAAAGTAACAACCAAACATCATACTCAAATATGGGTGTGCAATCATGATTTGAACTCTACACCAAACGCAGTCTTAGTATTTTCAGTTATATCTGGATTCCCCAAGTATTAACTGGGAATTTTCAGTTTTGATCACCAACTTCTCAAAATATGCCACAGAAATATGGAGAAAATCATGAGGTTAACTAAAGAGAATTTAGGTACCTAAAGACAGCATGTGTACTGCATGCATACACTTCTCTGGCTCCCTCTTGATGTAATAGAGCTGCTCCTTTGGAAATAGTACCTACAGAAAAGCAGCAAATCAATAATTCCATCCAATGCAACAATTAATAAGGACTAATCTCCTAACACTAGTTAAGAGCAAGAAAAAGATCAATTACGATTCATGAAAAAACTCCACCATTTAGAACACCCAAAAAAATCTCAAATATGAAATTTGTTGCCAATATGACTACTGATTGGGATGAGGAACTGGTGATCCATAAACTCAACAGATTCCATGAAACAACAAATAACTAGATCAATAGAACTAAAACTCGTGATGTGGCAATACCTGCTCAAATCAGGAACTTTTAAAAACTAGTTTCAAGGTTGATCAGTGAACTAAGTTGTATGGGGAGTCGATGTTTTAGCCTAAAAGCCAAAAAGTCACAAAAGAAGCCAAAAAGCCAACAAACTATATAAAAAAAGTCAAAGATTCCTTTTTCTCTCTACTTTTTGCACGTTTTTTCGTAAAAAGCCAAAAAAGTCATCCCAAACATACTAGTTTTTTTACCTTATATTTTAGCAAAAAAGTTACTAAAATAGCTTGTTCTCAAACGAGGTACACACAAAAGAACCTCTTGGTGGAGCCCAGTCCCCAGAGGGCAGAACAACACTACTTATTTAACTCTTAATAAATTTACTTTTCGGTACATTTACAAATCAGCTCCATAATTTGTTCTCTAGTAACAAAAAAAGAATATACACGAAATTTAAAAATACCAGCAGTATCAATCATGTCATCCACCATAACTGCTACTTTTCCCCTGACATCCCCAATCAAATTCATCACCTGCATGATGATATTCACATACCTGAGAATCCGGAAGGAGATGTTCCAATATAAACTCAGGGAAGATACAAACTAGTACTTAAATGTTCTTAGGATGCTTAAAACAATTTTTTTTTTTTTAAAAAAAAATACATGTCTCCATAAAGAAGCAGACATGTCAACTTCTGGAGTTACTCTAGTTCCAGGAATTATGTTATTACACAAGTTTCCAGAAATCTAACTATTGTCACAATCATTAGAGCTGATCATACCTCTGCAACATTGTGTCCATGACGCCTTTTATCCACAATGGCTAGAGGGGCATCGGATAATTTTTTGGCAAAAGCACGTGCTCTGGCAACTCCGCCAACATCAGGTGAGACCACTACCAAATCATCATAACAGATGGTCTTGCTAGCAAGGTAATCAAGTATCACAGGCTACTTGTGCACAAACAAAATAAAAACCAATCAAGGAACCAAACCATATCAGCCCATGGTTTCTTGACAAATGAATGGCGAAACAAAATAAGATGATGGCAGGAAAAGAATACTTATGTGAAGTATGAAATACACAATAAGAGAGATATTTTTAACATTAATGTTGACCTTTGTGGCAAAGCCAAAATCATCTCAAACGAAATTCTTTCAGCTAGCTATATCAGATGTCGTCTATTAACGTCAGACACCAATAAATGTGTCTGTATACATCACAGAACCAAACCTACACATAGGTTATTACCTGTCCATGAACATGGTCCACCGGAATATCAAAATAACCCATGGATTGCCCAGAATGTAGATCACAAGCAAGAACGCGGTCAGCACCTGCTTCAGTGATCAGATTTGCCACCAGTTTGGCTGCAATGGATTCACGCCCCTGGGTCTGAAACAGCAGTAAATGGAGATAAAGAACAAATCAAGTAGAATTCAATGGACTTATCCTAACCATATTAGCTTATATAAATCTTGTTTTGCGGTTCTGCTCCGCCTAGGATTCAATTGTCCACAGGATACATGGATTTAAAGCTCCTGCATTTTTAAGATTATACATGCTTCTAAGATTTACTACCAATCTTGTTATTATCTAATTAGTAGCTATTATTTTCTGCTTCCTAAGGGTTTGATCCTGTCAAGGTCCATAAAATAAATGCTTTCACAAATTGTTTAGCTATTAAGTAAAAAATATCAAGCGTAATATCCGATCCCACGTCAGGTAGGTATACAAGTGAGTTCACATCCTAATTAGTAACAAGAAGTTTTTCCTAGCCAAATTGCTGCTATGGATGGGGATGTTACACATAGCGACATCAAACAAAAATTATTAAAAAAATTCAGAACCAGCTAATTGATTTTCTTCAATTGTAAAGTACAAAGAATTTGACTCTAGGTTATGAAGATAATCTGCAGCAACTGGAAAAGTAACAATACGATTATATCAATTACACCGCAATTCACTATACACAAGAGGGGGGAGGGGGTAAGTATCCAGGTCAACTAATGTTATTTTATTTACTTGCCATGATCTATCGCCTCAACTTGGTTCATGGACAAAAAGTTTCAATGGGATATTCAGCCTATAGTTTTACCCAAAATGAGTTTGTCTCACTCCAAATACCAGCTTACCTTTCGATCAGCCCTGGCATATCCAAAATATGGTATCACTGCAGTAATATTCTTGGCTGATGCCCGCCGACAAGCATCTATCATGATCAGAAGCTCCATAAGATTCTCATTTGCAGGAGGACAAGTTGGTTGCACAAGATATACATCACACCCTCTAACACTCTCTTGTAATTGGACATATATCTCGCCATCGGCAAAGCGTTTTATCTTAATCTTTCCAAGCTCCAGACCCATGTAGCATGCAATTTCCTATCAAAGCATACAAAATTCAATCAGCAATTTCATGCTTAACATACTCATGAAAGATCAAGATAAGTAAAAAGAATTATGAAAATGAATACGAACAAGTAAATAGAGTAATACTTCAAAACAAAATAAATCACCAAAACTATAAAGAAAAAGGAATGGGAGCCCACTGCTGATAATACATTCATGTGTTGATGCAATTCAAGTGTCTGGATTAATGAAGAACTGACAAAATTGGCAGGCCCACAACCTATGCTGCTTTTCCTCGATCATGAGCAAGTTCAAAATTTTAAAATGAAAAAATAATCAACAAAATATTTTCTGTTCAGAACCAGTGTTGTGAAAGGCATGCCTAGGCGCAAGGCGCAGCAAGGAGCAGGTTCTGCGACAGAAGGGACCCAAGGCGAGGCGAGGTAGATAAGTCGCACGCCTTTGCCGCTTTGCCGAGCCTTGAGTCAGGCGCGAACAGGCGCAAGGCGACGCTTAAGCATGCCTTTTGTATTTTTTTTAGGCTCTGATCTGAGTTTGAATGGGGCCAACCACATATGATTGCAACTCATACTACTCAATACCCAATAGTTGAGGATCGAAGCCCTAAACTCTATCGAAGAAAGGTGTCGTCTCCTCTTTGCACAGTCTGCAGCTCATCGCGACTTCGTCTTCGCTTTCATCTTCGTCTTCGTCTTCGCGCAGGCGAGTCTTGTTGTTGTTGTTGTTGTTTTTCTGCTTCTTCTTCTTCGTCTTCGTCTTCAGGTGCTGTAGTCTCGCCTCTGTTTGTCATTTTCTTCTCTCTTTTTTTTTCCCTGATTATCCATCGCTGCTGCTGCTGCTGCTGGTTCTTTTTTTTCCCTTCTCCTTCACCTTCTCCTCCTCTTCTTTCCTGTGCTGTCATCTCGTCTCTGTTTTTATTTTTTTTTTGGCTGCTTCTTCATCGCTGGGGTTTTTTTCGCTGGTGCTGCTGGGTTTTTTTTTTCTTTTTCTTTTTTTTTCTATTTTCGTGCTGCTGTGTTGCTCTGTTTTTTTTTTTTTTTTTTTTCCTTGTCTCCGCTAGGAAAAAAAATTACAAATAATTAATTAATCACACATTACATTACACTGAAATTATTTTTCATTTATTAAATTTGTTGTGTAGAAAATGACATCTGAAAGTAACAGAAAAGATCCGGCATGGCAACATGCCCATTTGGTAGAGTCCAATAATTTGTCTTGATTGTCTTAGTATTATGAATGATTAGTCTATGTTAATTTATCCATTTTTTACTAAGAATGTGCGCCTTGCTTCAATGAAGCCCACGCCTCACCTTGCGCCTAGGCCCCAAGAGACCTTCAGCGCCTTGATGCGCCTTGCGCCTTTAAAAACACTGTTTAGAACCAACATTACAAACATTATTTGCCATTTATCTGTTTATGTCACCAAGAAAGAAAAGAAAAGAAGGTGAGTAAAATAAAAAAAGAAAGGGCAGTGAGCAGATAGGATATCCCGAAATGGCAAATGCAAAAGTTATCAAATAATCAAATCAGGTGATGCTTTTTGTACATACTGGCAGAGATCCTTGCTAAGCACCAACCTCTGGGTCCATGATTTTAGCATCAATCCCTCCTTTCCATACATTATTTAAGACACATCAAGACGCACTTCAACCCAAACATGAAAGGAAAGTTAGCTGTGAAATGTTTAAGCACATAGAGTTGCAAAACAAGATGAAATACTATTTATCAAGGGCATGAAAACAATACCATGAATTCATCCAAGAAAGAAAAATATCAACTAGAATCATGCTATACCAGCTATCCCCCAAATGCACGTTACTAAAAAATTCAACCCCGTTTCCTATTTTCTTTCTTATCCTCCCAGACAAATTGACGGTCATTCACAACCCCTGACTAAACAAATAAAAAAATAATAATAATAATAAAATGAAAAAGAAACCCTAGCATACCATTGGCTCTACTCTACATTTTTGTAGAGTAGAAAAACGCTAAAGTGGAAGGTGCAACTGCAGATTCGGGCAGGTGAGGAAGGAATAAGACTAGACCTCATTTTAAGGCTTTCCTCATATGGCATTTGAAGATGTGCTGACAACCCACATGGAGACCTCTATGTGTTGTCGGCTCGATTTTACCAATATTTGAGCACATGTCTGAGTGACATTATTGTTTGAGTGTTTTCCCAGCCAAGAATAATTGCAGTTTGAATTTCTTTTTCTTTCAGCTCTCGTGTTTTCAAGGTAAAGCCACAAAGGGCATTCCAGAATTACAAAAATAGGTGGGCTGCCATCTAAATAGGCCTTTCAAGTTCCTCATAAGATCCATTTCAACATAGTTTAAAGGTAATTTTTGCATGCTATTTAGTTTGTCACTTCAAATAAGGAAAGAAAAGATAAAACAAAGAAAAAATGAAAAAGGAAGATAGAACAGAAAGTTAAACACATCTTCCTGTTATAGAGAAAAGTGAATCAAAAAGAAGGAAAGAAAAAAGAGGGTTCACAAGGCCAATTTATATGTACTACAATGGATTGAAATGTTGTCTTTAAAATCATTTCAAAGTACTCCATAGACATGTACCATTCTTTCTTTCTTTCCACTTAAATTTTCAAATTAAAACAGTCCTAGCCGAGCTGGTTAATACCATTCATCTGTGAAGCATTCAATTTGAAGCAGAGAAGTATATAAGGCACAATTTAGAAACATCAGTGATTCAAAAGCATTTGAAATGATACCTGAGAAAGTGCAGGATTAGCTGTTCCAGAGAATATTCGAAGCCTAGTATCATTTTTGTAAAATGCATTTGCTTCTAGATAATTAGAAGCCAAAAAACTGGGAAATGTTGCTTGTTCACTGTCAAGGACCGGAATGGATGGCTTCCCATTGTCCTTAAACTTCAATGGCTCAGTCAAATTACACCTCTACAACAAAAACAGCACAAACACATCATTATCACAAAAATACAATTATACATAAAGAAAGCTTGAATATATAGGGAAACACAAACAAACAAACAAAGGTATATAACCGCATCTCCAATCCATAAGACTCAAACATATATCAAATTTAAATTTCTGTAAAAAGCACTCAAAAACCTCTCCACTCCTTGACTCAAACTTATATCAAATTGAGTTTTACCCTTAATTTTACCCAAATCAAGGGAGACTCAAATGTTTCCTCAAAATTTTTCAAAACCACTTTGTAGCTTTCAAATTAACAACTCTGCCATCACTGAAACTTTTACTCAAACTCATGCTTGATTCCAATCCAAGTTTGTCAATTGGAGTGTTTCGTATCAAATAAGCTTGGGAAAATTATAAATAAAACCCCAAAGTTTGACCTTTGTAACAAAATAAACCCTGGGTTTTTAATTTTATCAATTTAAACCATAATCTTTTGATTTTAGATTTCTTTTCAATCTAAACCATTCACCTATTTCCGTTAAGTAAAACTAATAATAAAAAAATAGTATTTTAGTCATTAAACTGAATGTAATACACCATTTGTTGTTGAGTTGAATGACTAAAAACGACAATAGACAGATAGTTTAGATTAAAAACAAATCAAAATATTATGATTTAAATTGATAAAATTAAAAACTTGGGATTTATTTGGTTAAAGGGGTCAAATGGTGGAGTTTTTTTCTCTTTTTTTTTATTGGAATTTCCCCAATAACTCATTTTTTAACTGAAATTTGAGTAAGGGCTGGAGACCAACAAAAAAGAAAAAGAAAAGAAAAAAGAAATTAAACTAAAATTGCACTTCAGATTGTAAACCCTAAAGCAAACTATATGTAAAACTGAATCATAATGAACAGAAAGACGAACCCATAAACAGAAACAAAACGTAATAAATAATCTAACACACACATATACACACATATTATTACTCTCGCGAACCTTCAATTAATCAATTGGACATTTGGCAGAAAACATATACGCAAACTATTCACACAGTAGTATATAACAACAATTGCATTTCCAAAATATGAATATGAATGCATTTAGGAGACAAAATGTAATCAGTTAGAACAAACGATTGAGACCAAAGAAGAACTAACCACGACAGCGTTTCTACTGGGGAGACGACGCCGAAACTTGTTTGTTGCAAAGAGAGTTGCAGAGAATGCCAGAGAAGCCATTTTTACGGACGAGAGCGAATCGGTGATTAGGGTTAGGGTTTTGGATCGGAATTGCTTCTTCTCAGTTTTTCATTTTCATAAGAAGAGGTGGAGTGGGAAATGACAAAACTGTGGGTAGCTCTGCGTTGACGGAAATCAAAACTGTTTTATACATCATTTGTAAAAATTTAGGAATAAGATTCTTTACACTATTTTAGGCTAAGTTTGGCATACATTAAATAATTTACTTTTTTATTTTTTTTTGTCACATTATATCTTTAATTTTTTACACATCTTTTTATAAAAAATAAAAAATACACTTATTTAAATTATTCTAAACAATTTCTTATTTTATTATTCTCTAAAATTTAGGAATAACATTCCCATAATATATATATATATATATATATTTAATTTTTTTTACAAATATTAATAAATTTGAATTTTTTTTTATGTTGACAAAAATACCTCTATATAAAATTGATGGGAAGCTTTTTTGTAATGTTAAAAAATAAAATTAAAAGTATTATGTAAAAACTCAATAAACTTACTTTTTAATGTAAATGGTTATTTAATTATCCTCTGTTTATCATCTTATTTAACTTTAATTTTTTGTACGTATCTTTTATTATTTTTATAACAAGTTAATTCAAATTAGAAAGAACTTTAGTTGGAAATTATTTTTGTTTGGTTGAAGTTTAAAATTTTATTTTGAAAAATCATAAATTACTTTAATAAAAATAAATACAAAAAAGATGTTTTTAGATTTTTTAAAATTATTTCTATACCGAAAAAAGAAAAAAGAAAAGAAGAAAAGAAAGAGAAGTTCCAAGTTTTTACAAAACCGGCTTTCAGAAATTTTCACTCACGAGGGCCTAACTTGTGGGTTGAATTTTACAAGATAGTAAGAAGTAACTTTTTAGCTTTTAATCTATCTTAAATTACATCTCTCTACTTTTTTACATGTTTTTTTTTCACTAACTTCTCAAAACAATTCAAAATTAGCTTTCGAAGGTTTCCAACGCATGAGTGCCAGACTTCTGGGTCTCTTTTGACCGAACGGTAGATGTTGTCACTCTAAAGCCTTTGCAATAACAAAATTATGGTTGAAAGGATAAGGTGGGAGGTGTCAAAACAGGTACTATTTCTAGATTTCCAAATGGCCCAATATGTAAGTGGGAGAAGGATGCTCCAGTTGGCAGAGGTGTGGTGAGTTACCTTAGATATGCAGTTGGTCTCAATCCAAGTTACAGGATCAAGATTGAAGGATTCTAGGGCTTGAGAAGGTATAACGCTGTTCCAACGGATTTTTGCGAAAGGAGCAGTCTCTAAGCACATTGGCTGACAATTTCAAGTTCAGAGGTACACAGAGGGCCGTGGTTGAAGAGCAAACTAAATGAAGTGTGAAATGAGCTTGACGAGTAAGCCAATGTAAATTGTATGACTGAGTTTGTATTATTGTCCAACGATTTGTACTATGACAAACATACCCACATACTGCCCATGTGTCTGTCTTTGTTGTAATATGTCCTGATGCTTGTCTATAGAAGGGATTTTAAGTCAGCCTTAGCCAAGTAATAAACTAATTGGACATATGGGTTGGTGCAACATTTGTAAACATCCATCAAATGAAACCATTCCCAAAAGAAAATTGCAGTCACAGTTAAACGTACATAATTAAGGAACCAAATCAGTAAACAAGCATAAACATGTCAATTGAAAGTGGTACTTGAGTGGCTTTTTCTTATGCACTTAAATAATCATTATTCCAAAGAAAATGTGATGTTCAGGGCAACCATCCTGAGCAATACATCTTTTTTAGCCTACAGTTTGGAACAGTTTTTCCAGGTCTTCTCTTAACATGTTTGGCATAAACACGCCTACAAACACGAGTCAGTGAAGAGTCACAATACATCGCAAAACCAAAACTGACACAACAGAAAGTTGTATACTGAAAGAATTCAACTAGGTCAGTATTCACCAAACAGGTAACTAAAATGTACTTTCAGTTTAATTCCATATAGAGATGTGAAACACGGATAATGATCAAGCAGATCTATTCTCAAGAAAATTCGAGCAACCAAGAAGCATTTACATATACAGTCTGGGCTTCAAGAAGAAACTCCATATGGGAGAAGTGCAGCAGCCACAATCCTGCCTTCCTCGTTCAGTATGTTGTATGTTGATGAAGCATTTCTCTGCAATGAATCAAAATGAACATTATGAGGATTGTAATCAATTTTTAAGTAGGTAAAGGGAATCAATAAATTCCCAATAAGGTCAGACTGCATGGATACATGTTTCCTATACTGCAATTTGTACCAGCCTGCTTGCAAATTGGAACAGAAAACTATTTCTACATAGCCGACAGACTCTCCACATTGAGTGTATGAATCAATCTTCGTTATCATCATATAAGCATATCTTCAGATGTCAACCATTTCATATCAAATGGAGAATATATGACATGTGGCCAATCTAGAGACCCTTGATCTAGGAATGCATGATCTCAAATCACAACTAATCCTCTTCTTCCTAATTCAGAACACCAACAGATAAAAAATTGTATGTTTTCATTTCAATCATGCCTAGTTTAAATTCTCCTCCATGTTGTCCAACATAAAAGTTAGCAGTTAAGATTGAGGTCAATAAAAAAAATGTGACCCAACAATGAAAATAATGGTGGGAGCGGTTGAGGCTGCGTATCAGTAGAAATTACTGAAACATTCAAGGTTCATGAAATCATTTGTGGCATCTCCAGATTGCAATAATGTAGCAATGAACAGAATCGCCTTTAACAGAGGTCTCAAGCTATGAAGCACGGACACGGACACGGGACACGGCAATTTCTAAAAAATGGGGACACGGCGGGGGACACGGCAAATTTCATTTTATTTATTTTATATATTTTTATGTGTTATGTAGATTCATATTACTTTCATCCTAAATTAAAATTAACAAACACTAACATAGTACATAGTAACATTAATTGAATAAACATAACCATTACATTTAAACAAATTAATAGATCATCTATTCATAAAAAAGTCATAATAAACGATAACAAGAACTAAGACGAGAAGGGGGAAACATTCAACATCCAACAATATTTTTCACAAAAGCACTAAATAAGAGAGAGGCAAAAGATTATAAAAAAAAAAAAAAAGAGGCCCTGCCGTGTCCCATGCCGTGTCCCTGCTGTGTCTCCTACAAAAAAATCATTAAATTAAAGGGACACGCCATCTAGCGTGTCCCGTACGTGTGCCCGGCGTGTCCCCGTGTCGGACACCGCCACGACACTAATTTTAGAGTGTCCACGCTTCATAGATCTCAAGCCTTTATCCTAGAATTTTTTTGAGTTAAAGAGGAATGAACCTTGTTTAACAAGAAGGATTGAATAAAATGGAAGATGAAACAGAAATAAATGAAAAAATACAAGAATATTATAAGTGCAATGTAGAAAGAAGAACACGGTAGTAGGTTAAGATTACTGTAATCCCTCCTCAACTATCATATCTTTATCTCAACCTATTCGTGTAGTAAAGTTTTGCACTTCTATCTGAATCCAAAATTTAGGAGAAACTCTTTCCAAAGTTACCCGTTGTTGTCAAAGACAGAACACATACATTATAATCATCTTCTCCACATGATGAAGAACCAACACAGCCACATAGGAGGTTAATTTGGTGTAACACCTCTTTTAATCATTCTGGTTCAAGGCAACATTCTAATTGTCATCAGCAAGGACGTCAGTTCTAACTGGTAACACTATATATTCACATGGATTATTATTGTTTGGAGTCACTCTTAACTCTACCGCCTGAAGGTTTTTGAGAAACCATTCCCTTTGGTCACCAAAAAAGCAAAAACAAAGTACAGAATCAATACACGAGGAGTTAAAATTCCAACCACGACATAAAGTTCCAAAATTTGGTTCAATTCCATCTAGTGTAAAAGTATTGCCATTTCAAAATCTCAACATGCTCAAGCAATCTTTTGTTGTCTCCAAGTATGTTGGATCTCAATAAGACCAGAACTGTGAACCAGAGTCATGAATCTTAACTAGGTGACAAGTTTTATGTGATATTTCATACATACTGAAACAAATTTTCTATCAGCTGCGAACCTGCATGACAATAGTTGTTTCATGATCTATGCATTATGTTGCCTTTGTGGTCAAATGTTGCTCACAATGTCTGTATCAGTTATTCATTCTCATTATAAACTCACACCCACATTATAGTGTCCCCAAATGAAACAAAATTCTATAAATTATTAAAATGGAGCAAATAAAGAGATCATTACCGAGTCAAGAACTTCAAGTTTCATTCCAGTAGACCGAATGAAGCGCCGAAGTTCAGGATGTACTTGCTGAATATTCCTCCCACAGCCAAGAATCAAAATTTCTGTAATTTACCGAATGAATCATATGTGAAGGACATGATACACAGATACAAACCAATTTTTAACAATTAAAATCGTTACAAAAGCTCATAGCTTCCACTCTATATTAGAGGTTCAATAAAGGTTGTTCAAATGTTAGGCTTGTGTTATATTTATCAAAAACAATGTTAGGCTTGTGTTATACATGAACTTTGAAAGGTTCAAGTGCAAACCCCAAATCAAGTGCCTGCAACTTTGAACAGTTGAGTAAAATGTAAAATATTGAATCTGTGATTTATTACCCTTCATTTTACAGTTTCACATCACTTTCTTCAATAACTAGGTACGATTTGAATCTCACCTGGTATGGGCCGCACAATTTGGAACATAGATAAGCTGCGTCATATCATATTGATAATAATGTGTCAGATACAAATAGAAATGAAAACCAAAAAATAGAACTTTCAATTATTCCAGAAAACATTTATCAAAAAATAAGGTAACGTAAGGATATATGGTTCGTACTTTGCAAACAAGAAAGTTTGTGAAGAGGAAAAATTTTTATGCTATCTACTCAAAAGATGCAGCTGAGCATTCAGAAACATCACAAAAAATGTTGTACATAGTGAACAAATATTTAAACCTCTGTAAATCAGACTTAGGCCTCGTTTGGCAAGAGGCTATTTTAGCCAATTAGCCAAAAAGTTACTAAATTAGCCAAAAAGCCAACAACCCATACCAAAAAGTCAAAGATTCTCTTTTCTCTCTACTTTTTGCACATCTTTTCGTAATTAGTCAAAAAGTCATCCCAAACATACAAGTTTTTTTTACCTACCTTTTTAGCCAAATAGCCAAAAAGTTACTAAATTAGCCTGTTCCCAAACGAGGCCTTAATTGAGTCTGGTGTGTTGGTCAATCACACACGCACATGGACAGTCTGTCTTGGTACACTGGGAATGTTACATAAAATCAATACATTGCTAACCTGGACTTTGTGGAGTTTGTAACCACAGTATTAATCGGTGTTTAATCCCAAAATAAATGAGAGAGAGAGAGAGAGAACTTCCACACACGCACACAACAACAAAAAAACCGTTGCTAAAATATTATCAATCTGCTAATCTATTTATCACTAGAAATATGTCCTTAAACACTAATGATGACAAGTGTGACGGGTAAAATTAGTTCTTCCAGTAGTGCTGACTAAACTTAAGTTTGACTTGCAGATGATCAGCAAGAAAGATTTTGATAACAAATCTATGGACTACGATAGAATAAACAAGCATTCATTACTCAAAAGGTCAGGTTTGAAGCATTGTTTTGAGTTAGTACCTAAAATACACAGCTTTAAATTACTTCCTGTCTCAATAAGGTATTTTGATCTGCTGCTGCTTCTATTCTAGACTTTTGCATATAAAAAATTGTGTACAAATTTCGTTTGCATATAAGAACTCATATCAAAATTTCCTTTTTGCTGCATTTTTTATCACTAAATTGAAATTTTCATATATTTCCTGAAGCTTTTCTTATTCTTCAATTTTCCCCCCCTTTTGGCAGACATTTCATGAATCTTCATTCCAAAAGGAATGATAAGAGTGCTTCACACTATTGTCCTAAACACATTTCTGGAATGAAGCTTCACACTAGTGCGACAACATATCATTTAACTATGACTTTGAATATTTTTCTGTAAAGTGAGCCAATCACAACATACCTACACATGCATAGCACAATCCTAATATCATTTTTTCACATCATCAAAAGAAAAGTAGCATAAATTTGTCTTTACTTGAATCTAGCATAACCACCAGAGGTGTTTCCATGGCTCAGGTTTCAGTTTTTTCTTAGATTTTTCATAGCAACATGTGGTGTCAGCCTGAAAAATGGTGAGAAGGCACAAATTGTGCTGTGAGCAAATGTTTTCATAGCAGATGACATGTTTGCAAAAGTAAAATCATTCTTCAACTTTTTACTAGGATTGACATTGCCAAATGTAACTAGGACTACTGCGCATGCCTCATACATAACTCCAGCATGTACCCTGTTGGAAGACGTAAAATAAACATAGAAATGGAACCAGACAGTTCCAACCAGAAACTATGGAAGATTTCCGAAGCACTAAATCATTTATTCCCAAAGTACACGTTCAAGAAATCAAATAGAATATCAAGTGTGGGCATGCAGTATCTGAAGTTATCATAGCCACCAATCCAACCAACGTCCTAAACACATTTCTACCTCAAAAAGGTAACAAATAGAAAGAGCAAAAAATTTATACACATGTACCTATCTGCAGTGATCTCCGAGAATTTTTTGGGACTCCAAGACGTTATCAAGTTCCCCACGCAAAGCACACTACCTTCGTAGGCAACCCCATTCACTGTGAACCCCTCATCAGTATACCTAACAAAAAAATTTCAAACAAAAAAATTGCAGCATAAAACAAACCACCCTATTAATTTATACCATCCAAAAAACACTAATTCTAATTATATCATATTTTTGCAAGCACTAATGACACGGAGTTGATCTGAATGCAGCTGCGAATACAGTGCACAAACCAAATTGAGCCTAAATAATATTAGAACAACTATCACCTTAATTCTTCACAGTTTGCACTAGTGAAAAATATTCAGAAAAGTAGGTTGATCAATATCATCATATAAAAAAGCACAAATATGGTATACATCAGTGTTAACACTATGGGATCAGCAGACTCCATCACATTAAAAAAAAAAAAAACTAAAAAAAGTAGGTGAAATGCGAATAAATATATCTATATTTCTTCTAATTTCACACATCTTTTTCCTTTTCCTTTCCAAATCCTTTCTCAAATCCCCCAACCAAACAAAGCGAAAAGAGAATGAATTTACAAATTTTGGGTGAGAATTCTCATGTGACCATCAGGCTGATCGAAGAAGTACGTAAAATAGCATATTGGGCTCAATCTAGTCTTTTGTTTGTCATTTGAGGTCAATTTAATCTTTTTATTTACTACTTTTGAATTAATCTAGTAAACAAATAAAAGAATTACAAATTAAGGTTTAAAGTTTTTGAAATTATGGGGAATTAAATTGAGTTGAAATTAATCATTTTTTTTTTAAATAAATAATTTCATTTGAGTAGAGGTTGGTTTGATGTTATTCAACGTGTGAGGGAAAAAAAAATATACCAAATTGGACAAAATTCCTAGAGCAGCCCATTGGTATACATTATTAAACAAACATATCTATACATATATTCACAATAAAACAAGCTAATTACATATGGGCTATGAACAATGTATAGAAAGCACACAATTTGAAGGTAAAAGGCAGTGTAAATAGCAATAGGCAAAGAATGAGAAGAATTAGAGGCAAAAAATTGAGAATTTTATAAGGAGGAGATTGAAATGGAAAATACCCTTGGAAGCGTAATTGGTCTTCGGGGACGTTGTCGATGAGATTGATCTGATCGTAGAGAGAGAAAGCGCGCCTGAGTGAGGGCAAAGGTTGCTGGTTCGGTAGCTTTGGATTTGGGTTTGGGTTTGGAGTCCCTTTTCTTAGGACTCTCATGAGAGTTGGCAGTGTTGCCACTGCTCTCTGTCTCACCGCCATTTCTCTCTCTCTGTCTCTCCGTGCGAAGCTCGGGAAGAACAGAGGGAGGAGGATGAAAATGGGGGCGTCTTTTGGGGTTATTTTATATTAGCCCCTCCTCTTCTTTTTTATTATAGAAGTTCCTCCATTATGTGTAATTTTTGAAGTTTTGCCTCATAATTGTTTCCATTCCCCCCTCCCCAAGAAAAAAGGGTTGAAATATCAAACAAACAAAAAAAAAGAAGAGTAATCCTAGAGATCTTAAAAATTTTACCAAAATTTTTACTAAATGTCTTACATTGGGGCGGGGTTCACATCATGTGGTTGCGACACGCACATGAGATATTTGGTAGAACTTTTAGGATCTCTAGCATTTTTTAAAAAAGAAAGGAACATTTACACACAAGTCTTAATTTATTTTAATTAAGATACTTTAGACTTTCAAGTCCCATTAAAATTTTAATAGTTTAAATTGTCTTTCAAATAATGATTGTTTATCATTTATGATTATTTATAAAAGAACATAATGATTTGACATTTGTTTTGATTTTCAAAACTTTAAAATATTAACTTTCAAATTGAAAATACTAAAAAAAAAAAAAAAAACTATGTGCAAAAAAAATACTCTATTTTTTTTTTGAAAAAATTGAAAAAACTGAATTATTTTTTTGTGGACAATTGAAAATTTTGTCTATAAAGGAACATGGTGATGGAACATTGATATGCAAAATTGAAAAACAAACTTTAAAAATGAAAAAAATTAATAATGTTCTTAGTTTAAAAATTGAAAAAAATTGTTCATATTCTCGATTTTATTAGATAGTTGAATCAAACCAATAAGTAAAAGGGCAAAAATATTTAATCTCATACTCTATTTTTTTTCATCAATTAGTGAAATAATTATTTGGAACATTACTATGCAAAATTTACAATGTTCTTAGTTTTAAAAATTAGAAAAAAAATTGATAATATTTTTAGTTAGACTGAATAGGACTTATTAGTTTAAATTTTTTAAAATAAGATCTAAACTATCATAACATTTGTAAATATGACTTTTGAATAATTACCTTAAAAAAAAAAGAAAAAAAAGAAAAAAAAAAGTATGAAAGATAGTATCAAAGATGGTGGTAAGAGAAGGGGCTGTTTGCTGGTAAGAAAAGAAGTTGGGGTGGTAGGTTGCAGTATAGAGTGGTTTGCCATTAAGAAATAAGGGCTAAGTATGGAGTTGTTGGTGGGAAAGGAAAGTTTTGTCGGAAGTGGAGGCCTCGACAGCCCTTCCCAAACCAAGCTTTTAAGCCCAGGCTAAAATAGCCAAAAAAGTCAAAAAGTCAAAAAGCCAACCCACTTCCCAAACGGAGGCTGAAAGATAGTATCAACGATGGTGGTAAGAGAAGGGGCTGTTTGCTGGTAAGAAAAGAAGTTGGGGTGGTAGGTTGCAGTATAGAGTGGTTTGCCATTAAGAAATAAGGGCTAAGTATGGAGTTGTTGGTGGGAAAGGAAAGTTTTGTCGGAAGTGGAGGCCTCGACATCACTAGAGATTGAGGGTGGCGGTAGGGTTTGAGTTTGTGTTTGAAAAAGATGATGATAGATTTGGCGTTGCTGCGAGTGTGAGGGTGGGAAAAAAAAAATTCAAAATTTCAATTTTTTTTGGTAAAAGTTATAATAAGAAAAATGATGAAAGTAGACCCTTTTGTACTGTAAATACAATTATCCAAAAACTAATTTTCACAGAAATGAAAATTTGGACAAAAATCCCTCCATTCCCAATATTTCATTTATTTTTTTCTATTTGTTTCCTCTTTTACTTTCTTATATCAAAACTTAAACCAGACAAAATAAATCATTTATTGCTTTCTTTTACGCTGTGTTTGGTTGGAGGATTTGGCGAGAAATTTGAAAAGAAAAAAAGAAAAGATGTGTAAAACTAAGTGAAATAAAAGTATTTTTTATTCACATTTCACCTACCTTTTCTATTTTCTTTTTCAAATCCATTCTCTAATCCCCAACCAAACACAGTATTATTGTTTGGGAGCATTGAGAGTTCAGACTTTCCCCAAAAGGGTTCACATTAGAAATAGAGGTAGGAACGGCAATGTAAGAGTAGAAGGCTTGGATGGCAGCTGGAGAAGTAGATATGGCAGTGGGATTGGTAGTGCATTGTTGTGATGTGGATGAATTGATAACTGTATTTCATTTTTCTCGCTTTTTCATTAACAATGGGGTGCAAGTTTATAAATTACAATATGCACAACTTGCACCCAACACAAATTTCACTTGAATCATGAAAGACACAATCCTCTGCTAGTACTTAGGTTGACAAACTTGAGTTCGTGCATCATTTGACAGTGGACGGAGGGAGGCTGCAGTGGAGTTGACAAGGGCTGGAAGGGTTTAGTTGCAGCAGTGTTACAATTGAGTGGGTCAAACATCATTGTATATTTTACAAAAAATTTAGGCTTGAGGGGCCTGTCTATAGACTGTCGTGGTCCGCCTGATAAACAAATCATTTAGTAATTTTCAAACACCATTTCACTATGTTGAAATAGTCAAATGCAGTATCTTCTCACTATATAACTCAATTGAACTGGTTCCATACAACTGATACAACTTGAAAGCTAACAAAATCAACAAATTAAACACCACTTATTTGAACCCAGATCAGGTAAAAAAACATGTAAATGCAGCAAATGGCATTTTCAAACATAGTGAACATACAAAATGGCTTTTCCATCATTATTGAGGAGTAAAATCTGTAAACTATATCAAGGCATAGCATATGTAGGAGCTGGCAAGAACGGAAACGGCGCAACAGAAGCATATGCTACGGGCGGCTGTGCTTGAGCACATACACCTGAATGTTTCGCCTTTTTTTCACAGTTCGCAATTTCAATCTCTTGTACCAGAGTTTCTGAGGAAGACAACTGTATGGTAATTCCCTCTGAATTTTCTTCCCCGAGTAACTGCTGGTTATCAGGAAGCCGATGTAACAACATCCCAGACATGAATACAGGAAGATACAGAAGGCTAGCATGGAACATTCTTCTAGCGTTCTTTGTTGTCCGGTTTAGGTAAAATGAGAGTGCTGTTCCACTGATTGCAAAAGCAAGGAGTGTTGATTCAAGACAAAACCATCCAGAAGTTATACCCCCTGTAGACAGACTTTCATGTTTAAATTGTGTGATGCAATGAATTATTTATAGTAATCACAAAGTTATCATAAATACAAATCATTCGAACTATGCCATTGCTGCCTATTGGGCTATCAATAAGGAAAAAGGGAAAATGAAAAGAGAACATTGGGGTTGGGGGGCAGGCAGATCAACATGAAGTTTAAAAACATTTTTTCTTTTTGATCAACAACAAAATTTTATTTTATTAAAACAGAAAAGAGAAAAAGGACAAGAAATCCTCATACAAAGAAAGAAAAAGAGAAGAAGAAAAAGCAAAACAAAACCGCAAAACTCGAAACTCTAAGGATGGCAAACAGCAGCCCAATCTCTAGAGATCAAAAACAAAGGGACTCATTTAGAAGGAGGAGATACAAATGCCCAAAATGAGGCCAAATATTCCGCCCTATCCCACAAAGCCTCTACACTTACTTCCTTGCCTTCAAAGATTCAAGCATTTCTCTCCAACCATATAACCCAGAAAATAGCAAAAACAATGTTGATCCACATTGTTTTGGCTTTCTTGGTACTCCCAAACCCGTCAAACCTAATAAGAGACATATGCATACACTCCCATGGAGCAACCCACTGCACATCACATAAACTGAAAAGACGCTGCCATAATACAGAAGCCACCGGGCAATAAAGAAAAAGGTGATCCGCTACCTCCAAATTTCTCTTGCACATCACACACCATTGAGGGCATAGAGAGTGATTAGGCCTTCTCCTCTGAAAAACATCATTAGTTATAACACTCTTTTGAGCCAAAGACCACATGAAAAACTTCACTTTATGAGGGATACCCGCTTTTCAAATGTTCTTATGAAAAGGGAACAAGGGAAGCGAGGGATTATCAATAATCTTATCAAAAAAGGATTTACATGAAAAGGGCCCCTAAAGAATCATGATTCCACCCCCTACTATCACAAGACGAAGAAAGAGGAACCCCTTCAAGCACTACCAACAAAGATGCCAACTCCCCTGCCTCCCTATCATTCAAGTTTCTAATGAGATCAAAATTCCAGGAGATGGGTGCCATAGAAAAGCAAGCCACCGATGCTATTGACACATTTGGAGAACAAAGAACGAACCAACCTGTAAAGAAGGGGAAATGATCAAGCAAACGAAATATCCTCTAGCCAAACATCCTCCCAAATCCGAACATTCTCCCCATTCCCCACTTTGAATGAAAAAAAATTAGACACAAGAGGATACAAACGAGAAATGGATTTCCACGATGAATGACAATTGCCTCTATTAGCCACATTAGAATCCCTACCATTGGATTGAACTCCATACTTGCTTTTAATAACTGAACACCATAACGATTCACTTTCAAGAAGAAATCTCCACAACCACTTGCCCAAGAAAGCAATATCCCTAGCAACGATGTTTCCTATAGCCAAGCCACCTTTTGTCCTAGAAACAGAAACAATGTCCCACCTAAGCAAATGAACCCCTTTACCCTCATCACACCCTTCACAAAGAAAATCCCTCATTAGTTTCTCAATCTTTCTTGCAATGCTAACCAGAATTTTGAAAAGGAACAGGAAATAAATAGGAACAGATCCTAATACGGATTGTACCAACGTATACCTCCCTCCCTTAGACAACAAAACACACTTCCATCCCTCTAATCTTTTCCCAATTTTGACAAGAACAGGTTCCCAAAAAGACGCCAATCTAGGATCTCCTCCCAACGGAAGCCGAAGATATTTGAGAGGAAAGGAATCAATTGAACATCCCAACATAACCGCCATCCTATGCACATGACTATCGTCCAAATTAATACCCACAACACTGCTCTTGCTAAGATTGACCTTGAGGCCCGACACTATTTAAAAAATTCTCAGAATCTTTAGCAAACTCCCCACCTTATTTTCCTCCTTTGATGAGAAGAATATAGTATCATCCGCAAATTGTAAATGAGTAACACCTATCCTATCCCTTCCCACCACAAACCCCTCAATGACACCCTTATCTTTAGCTAAACCAATAACCAACCCAACACACCAGCAACTAAAATGAACAAAAATGATGATAAAGGATCACCCTATCTTAGACCCCTAGATGCTTGAAAAAAATCCCCCGCCTTGTCATTCACAATGATTGCCATATTGCATGACGACAAGCACCCTCAAATCCACTTTCTCCATCTAACGCCAAACCCCTTCCTTTCCAAAACAAAATCCACAAAGCCCCAATCAACATGGTCATACGCCTTCTCAAAGTCTACCTTAAATACAATACCCTCCTTACGTAGTCCCCTATACTCCTCCACAACCTTGTTAGCCACCAAGACTACATCCAAAATCTGCCGACCCTGCACAAACGCACCTTGTGCCGAAGAAATAGTTCCCCCCAGGACAACTCTTAGTCTCCTAAAAAGCACTTTAGCTAAAATCTTATAAAGAGATGTGACCAAGCTAATGGGTCTAAAATCTCCAATCTTGACCGACTTCTCCTTCTCCTTCTTGGGAATTAGACAAATGAAGGATGCATTGGTACACAAATTAACCTTCCCACTCTCAAAGAACTCAGCAAATACCCTCATAAGATCCCTTTTTACAATTTCCCAACAATCCTGAAATACTGCCATTGAAAAACAATCTGAGCCTGGAGCCTTATCTCTGTCGCACTCAAATACAGCCTGTCTCACCTCATCTTCATCGACGGGCCTTTCCAGCCAACTAGCAGTCGCTAAATCCACTGGAACCCAATTAATGTCTCCAATCCCTGGACGATCCACACCCCCATCAGATTATAGATTTGAATAAAAATTAAAAATTTCCTTGACAATAAGTTCCTCCTTACACACAACCTCACTTGGAGTCACATCCAAATTTTTAATAGAACTCTTCTTCCGCTTCCCCGATGCAACTCTATGATAAAATCTAGAATTGGTATCACCCTTTCTAGCCCATTTCAACTTAGCTCTGACCCCCAAAAAATTTGCTCTCTAAAAATGATCTCTTCCAACTTCATTCTCAACATTGACCTCCTATACCTTAACGTTTGAGATAAACCCTCCCCCGCCTCCTTCACATCTAACTCCCAAATCTCACGAACTAATCCCGCTTTCATCTGAACCATATCCCCAAAAACTTCACGTTTCCAAACTTTAAGATTTTCCTTGACTCCTCTCAACTTTCGCATAAACTTAAAGCCCTCCCACCCATGGACACGAGCATTTTCCCACCACTCCTTAAAGAATGCCTTGAAAGCTCGATTTTCCAACCACATATTCTCAAATCTGAATGGGGTTGGACCCCATCTAAAAGGACAGCTCTTAAGGATCACAGGACAATGATCTGACACAACTCTGGGCCCTACCTCTTGCCTTACATCCAAAAACAACTCCTCCCACCCTAAAGTATGACAGAACCTATCCAACCTACAACACACCCGATTTTCCTGAAGATTAGACCATGTGAATCGCGCATTACTCAAGGGAAGATCAATCAACTCACACTCCTTGATAAAATTATAAAAGTCCCGCATATTCCTATTTGTGGAAACCCTATTTAGTTCTTCCAAAACCTGCCCAACCACATTAAAATCCCCACCCACACACCAATAAGGGGAACAAAGCCCAACTCATCCCACCACTCCCATCGATTCCTAGATCTATTAGGACCATACACCCCTGTCAGCCACCATTCCTTACTATCCCTATTCCTAAACCTAATAGACAATGAAAATACCCCGACAACTATCTCACACTTCGATACAACTCTCTCATCCCACATAATCAAAATTCCCCCTGATCTCCCCCTAGAAGGCAATACAGCCCATCTCCTAAATCGAGTCCCCCAAACACTTCTAATAAAAAACCTATCACACTCCTCACACTTTGTCTCTTGAAACATTACTATATCTGGTTGTTGAATTTTCAAAACCTCGTTAACTACCGCCATTTTCTTACAAGACCGTAGTCCTCGAACATTCCAACTAAAGATCTTCATCGAGAACCATCATCACCCCTTGCCTCTTTTCCCCGCCCTCATAATTGACGCCACTTTCAAGGTTTCTTAATTCCCTCATCCCTTTTCTTAGCCCCGACCCTCTTTGTCTTCCATCCCCCCTAGATGGAATCCCCACCCTCCTAGACCGAGACTTCTTCCCAGTGTTCCTGACTAGTGCCAACCCAAGAGTCTCAAGTAACTATGCAAAGTGAGGCACATCATCCTAGTCCAAAGGAAAAGACACATACTTACTCATTTTCCTCAACCACATTTCAGACTCAGCACCATCGTTGCCACTAACAGTGTTCCTTTGAAACCTACGATTAGGAGACTCCTCCCTCGAAAGATCAGTCCTATTAGTATCCATATTGTTTAGCTGTGGGTTCAAGCTGCCACTGGTAGAAGTCCTATTCTCATGTAATAGAGACATTATCATTCTTGTTAGAAACCATTCTGGTAGATTGTAAGAAACAAGGGCCCAATAATGACTCTTCCCCCCCCCCCCCCCCCCCCTCCTAACTGACACAGAATCAGGACTCTGAAGATGAGGATGAAGTGAAGGATTCATGTTGTCCCTGTCAATAGAGTCACCAACCTATTCACAAGAATTAAAGACTGCCACACCCTCAAATCCCCCAGTGTGCTTAATACAAGAAGAAAATGGTACCTCCTCTCCATGGTATAACCAATTGAGATTCAAGTCAAAATCATCAGCCCTCTCCTCTTCCGAATAAGCATCAGCTTCCTCATTTGGACCTAGAGATTCATCAAAACTGTCATGAGAGCCATATCCTTCCAATGCTTGGAGCACCCCTTGTGGATCGCAAATGCCCCCTTCCACTTCATGAATCATGCTGTCAACACCAGATAGAAACTCAATTGCTACATCATCATCTTCAGCTAAACCATTAACACCAATGGGTCATTCAATCTGAAGAAACTGACCTGTGGAGCGATCGACCACATTGGCCAAACCCAAATGAATTTCATTCAAGTTTAACCCAACCAGCGGAGTCGGAACCTGCTCGGCCCCGACCTTCTCATCCTTTTGTCGCCGACAGTCATTACCTTCATGCCTATCATCCACCTAGTTCGCTGTCTGTATACAGTCGTTCTCCCCATCGAGAGCACCCATCGTCTCCTTTACCCGACAAAGCCCTAGATCCGAACCTGGAATAGAAATACCCATTTGGTCTGATTTAGGCTCATCGTAATTCAAATTATAATTTTTTTTTTGTTAGCCAATGGGCCATCACCCACCTGGTTCAAACCTTGACCCAAATGACGAGTGTTAATGAGGCCCAAATGAATACTCTCATCATCACCAACCTAGTCTGTAAGTGATACAGAAGAAAGGCCCAAAAATGGCCTAGGCCCAAGTTCACTCAACAGCCCATCTTCACCTATAATAACCTTTCGTGATCTGGGGCCCTAAACAGCAAGCCCATGTTCAATACACTCTTGCCCAACCCTTGACCTCCCCTTGTCGTTAACATTCTCTTTGTCGAACAGAAGAGCCTCTTCGTGAACCCCAACTTCCTTGAGAACCAGACATCCACATGTCCCGACTGTCCCCTCAGTCTTGTCATCTCCCTCACCTCTGGCGCCAAGTTCCGATGGAACCTCTCGTCGGAAATTCCATTGCTGATGACCCTCCCTTCATATGAAAGACTTCGAAATCGCCTTCACTTGCACAGTGATTGCTCCATGAGCCGTCGAAATCTCCACAGTTGATGGTAAAAACCTAGAAGCCGATCTTTTCACCTTCAACCTTGCCTCAAAAAGATTTTCAAAATTCTTGGTTCTGTTGTCCACTTCTAAGAGCCCTCCACATTTCGCCCCAATTTGTTCAAAAATCCTGATATTCCATAAATTAAATGGCAAATCACAAATAGCAATCTAGCCTCCATAAGAGGCAATCACAGTAGATCTCCTATGCTTCTTTTCTGACCACCCCTCCAACAATACTGCAATACCCTTATCAAAAAACTACCAACCTTTATTCCCATAGAACGCAGCCATTTCCTCGGTCTTGGTGAAAAACAGAGCTTGATTCAACTGAAAGGGACGAAGCTTGATAGATATCTTGTAAGATTTACATAATTCCTTCTCAATTTGCTCCCACCCTATGAAGAAATCTGCTCTCTCACACACCACCACCACCTGATGGAGTACGAACGAAGAAACATCTGTTAACGAACCTGATGATGGAAGCTTGAGAACCTTCGCATACGACCAGCCTTTGTTTGCCCCTGTTTTCATTTGCTGACTCATTTCCTCTGTGTCAGCCTCCTTATTGGCCCCATTCGGCTGAACATCATTGCGAAGATCCTTTGCCATGGCTACATGTCTTGTCTCCTTACCTACCTTCTTACCTTCATCACCTCTAACACGGTTGTTCTGCCTTGTACCAAATAGGATTGTTTCAAGTAACCAAGCCACATCCTTCCACCCCTGCTGATTGACTCCTGCTGGAATGATAATGTTTGATGTCCTTATCCCAACAACCCACTTGGATAACTCCACAAACTCACCTCTCCTATTTGAATAACACTGAAGATAGAAAACAGCCGAACTATTCGTATACTTTCTGAAGAACTGCCTCATGGCACTCATGGTTCCAGCATCTTTGATAGCCTGTGATGCCCAGAAAACCCCTCCCAAATCAAGTTTCAATGTGAAACTGCGGTGCTTATTCCTTTCTATGATTTCCACAACCTCCACGTGTGATCTCTCATCGACCTGAACAATAATTACCTCCTGCTCAATCTTCAGATCAAACACACGATCACTGTATCTCCTCATGTATCTCTCTCTTCTCAACCTCCCCTCTCTCCCTCACTTCTGATTGCCAATATGTGATCTCTTCTCTTCAGCCCAATCTGAAAACCTTTCAGATCAAGACTGAAAGTTAGGCAACTGATATTGTTGAAAAGGGTCATTTTATGGCCTCAAACAACTTAATCAGAACTCATGGATTGATATATCTAACAACCTGACCAACTACTAAAGTTTTACAGTGATGAATCTACAAGTTCAAGAGCAACTTAGACCTTGCAAGCAGAATCACTAAACCTCAAACAAATATGAAATAGTATCATGCAAACTTTGTCATCACCAACCACTGCAGTTGGGTCACAATTTTGATTTGATGTGCTCCCACAATGAGCTAAGTTAGCACTCCATTTTTGTTTATTTTTTTTTCCAAATCTAACAATGTTGGCTTGAGAGTGAGTAAATATTGGATGTAACAGTGATGGCAGTATCACCATCCGATGAGCATTGTTGATTTGCGGTAGAGACCACAACATTGTTGGGTTAGTGGGAGACCAGGGTTGACCACTTAATTACATTTGCAGTTTTTTATTGGCCGGTGACACCATATGGGATGGTATCACTGTTACACTCTATTTTTTCGGGGTTGGGGTGGAATAAGGAAGCATAAGAATAGCTCATGGAGGAAAAACACTAAGTAGTGTACAAGATACAAACTATATAGAGTTGTTGTACTGGAAACATTATGAACAAACAAAGAAATATCTAATATTTTTTCCTCCTTTTCTTTTAGTAGAAAGAGAATAATACAATGGGTCTAAACCCCTCAACCCTAATAAAACTCTACGGGCTCACCAAGTACAAATTGATGTTTAATTTCTTAAAACTGAAAAAGATTAGGAAACCACCAGATACATGTTTCAATCAATTTTTATGGCTCACCAAAATGGTAAACTTGATGTTAGAAGATGTCCCATTAGCTGCTATGTCACTTGACAGGATTTTAATTAAGGAAGGTCAGCAATGTAGTTTCTATTTCTCATATTATTCAGCCAGAAAACTTTACAGAAGACACAGAAAGCATGAAAGAATTCCCTCAGTACAAAACATTGCTTCTGATATCTAGACAGTACAGTAACAGAACTCCGACTAATGACACAGAAATGTGACCATGGTCTGAATCACTGTTGTTTATTAAGTCATAAAAAACATTAGATAGTTTAAAGGATGTTTCAAACGTAACAGGGTGCATCATCATCTCCAAATGTCTAGTTAAATTTCCTCCTTCGAAGTGCAACATACAATCTTTGCATTATTCAATTTCATTACAACTCAAAAACCTGAAAAATTCAGGAATGGCTGATAATGAAAGTTGCCATGGGGGGAAAAAAAAAAGCAGAATGAGAAACTATGCATGTACGATTTCTAAAGAGAGTGACTCACAATCACAGGCCAAGTATCCCAAAGGAATTAGATACAGGCAGTTCCTCAAAGCCACCAATGCAGTTCTTCGGCCAGAAGCATCAGCAAGAGAGAACATCCTAAACCTGAAAACAAAGCAAGAAAAAAATAAAAAGAAGGAAAGACACCCAAGGGAACTGCTTCAGGATGCCATTGTCATGACTCACATGCAGAAAGCAATCACACCAGCTGCATAAAACATCTACTCAGAATTAAATTTTCCTTTCGACTTTTTGAAAACCCTAGTATAAATAGCAATGTACTTTATCACAATCTTTTCACCAGATGTACTGCATATACATCATCAGTAGCATTTGTAGTAAAAGATAGTGAGGATGATGTCACCATGTCATATGTCGCACAGCCCCAAGTTGAAAATTTTCCAATTGTTAGTTTTAAGCCAATCATAAATATAGGGCACAATATGGTGTACATGAATATCAGCTATATGAAGATTCTCCGTGCAAATAATCTCTCCTAATCCAGTTGGACAATTGAAGTAATATCTGTGCGGCTGACTCCACAACAATTGGACTGACTTTGACAACAAGGATGACAAAAAAACGAGGTTTTACAAATTCAAATTTCAAACAGAACCTCGCATACATACCCTCCAGCAGCATAATCGTCACGACACAAGTATGCAAGGGCCATGAAATGAGGTATTTGCCAAAAATAGAGGGCAGCTGGGAGAATCATTCCATTGAGTGTAACTTGACCAGAAGCCGCAACCCACCTAAAGAATACAGAAACAAATAAGAATTAGCATGCCACATTGAGAATGAGCCAATGGCTGTAAATGAGGTATGTGTGTCACACATTCAGAAAATTGAATTGGTCAGTGTTTAGAAATACCAAAGCAATTAACAAAGCCAATTTAGAAAGATCTACTAAAAAGGATTAGCTTTCAATCAAGATACCTTCCTATTTTGATGGAGAAACGAAACTTCATGCATGATTGAAAAATGGCAGTATATCAAATCCTCATAATCAAACCTTCAATTTTATTTTATGAGCAATCACCCATTCTGGTAAGCTCCTTCATTCAATATCAGCTCACACACATAGCAAGAGACCACTAAGAAAGGGAGTTATCCCTGTTGGATATATAACTGTAGAGATGAACTACGAATGGATTACATAGAGAGGTCCTAAGTCTAAAATGTGCACAATGTGCTTAACAAAAATGTAGTAGATTAAAATATACACATTCAGCATTGCTATCATTTGAATTTAACAATGTTAAATAAAGTTTTAGATGTTGAAGTAATTACATTCTATTTGCATGTAGTTTCACCACCATAATCTCTTTCCTCACATGCAATTTTTAAGGAGGTACCATGATCACTAAATGATGCAATCAATGTGGAATCGTAAAACCCGCATACAACAGTGCTAATTAAAAATTCTCTGGCAAAAGATTTTTTGACCAAGGATATGGAATTCCATCCTAAACCATGATTTGGACCTAGTAAAATGTCTCTTCACTTCACAAAGAACCAAGACATAATCCCTTGCAAAAGGAAAAACTATAGCATGAATTTGATTTGGACTAAATGGAAACTGGAAATGTTGACTGAATCATGTACTGTCACCACCATTAAGAAAAAAAAAGTAGGGAAAACCTATAAGCCAAACAAAGAAGCCAAAGATATCCAAACAGAAAGTTACCCAAGAAGGGGAGGAATAGCACCAACAACAGCTCCAACCCATGTATTTACTGGGTGTATTTGCTTTAAAGGAGTGTATACAAATGCATATAAAAACAGATTAGAAGCTGCAAGCCCAGCTGCCAACATATTAGCCTGCAAAAACCTTGTCATAAAAGCAACATCAGTCCTCTATAAGTAGAATATTAAACATTAGGACAGAAAGCAATTCAAATAATTGACAAATAGCAAGAACATAGATAGTGAAATTATTCATCCACCTCGCATGCCAACAAAGCAGTGCCAGCAGCACCAACGGATGATGCCCAGCTGACTGCATGAGGTACAGTAATACGCCCTGAAGGCAGTGGTCTTTGCCTTGTTCTCTTCATCTTGGCATCGTTATTTATTTCAAACACCTAATCCAACAATGTCCATGAAAACCAGTTCAATGTCTATCAGCTCAAGAAATCAAACAAGTTCAGTCCATGCTGAATATCCAGACAGATTGAAGCTCATAAGTAGCAGTAAAAGATAAGAAATGCTTCACTTCTTTTTCTTCCATCTCCTCAATCCTTTTATGGATGACAAGCACTGTTTGGTTGAGTTTTCAGAACATGTTTTCTGAAAAAAAAAATCAAAAAATTAAAAAAAAAAAACTCATTATTTTCATATGGCTCTCTTTTTTGGGGAAAAAATAATTTTTGAGAACCCAAAATATTGTTTTGGTGTTTATTTTTGTCAAACTAGTTTCTCAATTTTCAAAAATCAAAAAACAAGTTCTAAAAACTCAACCAAATAGAAATTTTTATGTTAAAAAAAAAGAGAGAACATAGCAAACGAGGAAATGCTGCACCAACAACGGGAAGCTAGAAATAGTATGAAACATGGAAGATCGTTTATGCAATATGACAAGCAAGGATAGGAAGTCCTTCTAAAACATCGGCAATCAAAATGTGGGGCAAGGAGAACAACAAATAAGATTTTTCATTACAGTTATTTTATATTTTGATAACTAGATGTCTGGGCCAACTTGTACGAACCTCGACTAATCCTAAGGCCCTGAAGTTAACGACCGGGCAAACCTCCAATGGCCCCTTTCATTACAATTATTAACTTATAAAGATACAACATTGAACACATAGATCAACCAAAAATTATGCTCATTAGAGTCATTTGATAATATTTGCAGCCTATTCTACTATGTTATTTAGACCACTAGTACAAAGATTTCAAAGAATTGCACGACATGACCAAATCTCAAAACATGGACACTTTCTGTATGGTTTACAATGTTGGAATGTTCTTCCTCCTTTTGTTATTTTATGTATTATGAAGGGTCCTTTTGCAGCAAGAGGCAGATTTTAATGCATTAATTTTAATTAATCACACAAAATTGCTCAACATTTGTTGTTTCAGTTCAGAATTTGGTCAATTACAGTTGCACATTTTAAGAAGTAATGTTAAAAAATTTGTATGGAATCCACATGTAAAGGGAATAGGATAGTTCAAAAATAGATCCAACAGTAGACAATTCAAACTCTGAGGCCATTATAGTTCCAATGATCCTAGAGTTAGGAGTCAACTTTGAGGAGAGCTTAAATTGGAGACACTAAGAAGGGAAGAGGAATCTAACTCCTTTTCTCAGGATAATTAAATTAGTGGCACTCTCTCAAATGATAATTGAAAGACATCTAAGCATGATGCCTGCTGAAGGCAAAAGGTTGAAGTTTATATGGATCTTCTTCTTCTTCTTCTTCTTCTCTCTCTCTCTCTCTCTCTCTCTCTCTCTCACACACACACACACACACACACACACACAAATAAATGGATGGGTGAAACTAAATATCATGCAGGCTATACAGTTCAAACATATCTCACAACCAGCCAGTTCGCAATTAAGGTAAAGAAAGAAAGATGTCTTGTTGTTTAAAGACAATAAAGTGACACTTGTTAATAGATTACCCACGAAATAAAGTAACCAATATCAACAACTAATCAATTATGTTATTCTGTCTAGCCCTTTACTCATGAAATGATGTGATTACGTCACAAAAAAGGCTTGCATTACTATATCCTATACTTTTATTTTATAATATATGTTCTTTTTATGTACATCACTTCATTGAGAATCTTCGATATACTACATTGCAATAAAAACTCAGTATCCATTTGCAAATTTTAAAAAGAAGAAGAAGAAGAAAATTTTGACTCACAATTCAAATCTTGATTCGACAACTATGGTTATAGTAGCTATAAAATTTTCGATTCAAACCCATTTTAGTGAAAGAAAACACAAGGGTCGGGTACAATATGTAAGACATACCTTTGCCAAAGTGTTGGCATCTTTGGCACTAAATTAAATGAAATAATAAATAAAAGAAACTGACAAATAAAGATACCATTCAATAACATAGAACTTTCAATTGTAAAACAAATTAAACAAAAAATTCTCAAGTAGATCATTTAAAAACCTGATTTAAGGAGTTAGCAGATGCTGCAACCATCATGGTACCAGCACAGGTGCAACAGAGCCCCACATAATCAATGGCATTGCCACTCCCAAGAACATATCCGGTCCCAGAAGTAGCAACAACAAGCATGCTGAAGAGAATGTGGAAAAAATATCAGATTGTGCTCTTAATTACTTTAAATTTCCACATAGGTTATATAACCACAACTGGCAATTATCAGAACCCCAAAAATCTCCCCCTCACTCCCAAGGTACTCTAGCTTGTCTATTCATAGAAGCTTCCAGCCAACTTAAAGATATTAAAGAGACAATAAGAGTTTACAGCAGGACCACAAGAAGAGGATTTTTTTTTCGTACCAATGCAATTGAATGAGAAATATTATATCAATTAGTCATTGAAAATGCATTTCACTTATGTTGCTTAGTAGGTCTAGCCTTGTCAGATCCTATTAGACGTACAATAGTTAGCCCTATAATCATTGATGTCTGGGTCTGCTATACCATTTCGTGAAACTAACCTATTTTGTTATTTATTTATTTATTTTTGTTGGGCAAGGCATCCGTTGAACACTTGTTCATAAACAAAGGTCATCACATATTGTTCAAAATAAGAATTCCTCTCACACAGAGTCGCCCTGGAATCAAAATTCCGGGGCGCCATTTTTTTCAATACAGTTTGATTCCAAGGTGCATCCAAATCTTGACACCCAAAAAAACAAAATAATAATAACGGAATCCTAATTAAGCCTTTCAATTAGAGTTGTCATTATATGCTAAAAAGATTATCTTATTTTTCTACAGTTGTACCTCACAGCCTAACAACTTAGGGCTTGTTTGATTGGGCAAACTACAGTATACAATTCTACTGTTTGGTTGCAAATTTTATTTATCCGGATTAGATTCCAATGGTCATCCTATCCAACAAAAATGATGAATTTTTTAATCGTACAACTAATAACCCAAAACATACATATAATTGGGATTATATATTTCTATTTCAGGGAATTATGTATCTCACTAATCCATCCATCTGGATAACCAAGCCTACAATCTCATGGATTGTTAATCCCCTCACTATTAATCCTGCTAATCAAACAAGTCCCCTTAGTCAATATTTTGTAGTGAATATTCTACATTTCCATCAGTTGAGAGAAATCAAAATCAAAATCTGAATCAAAATTCAAACACAGACTGAAATCATCCAATAATCCTAACCTGAGGCGAGCCTTGGAGAGCTCCCAATAACACCGTCCGTAATGACGAGCCAAGTCCACCACATCCCTAGCCCTCGACACCGACGCAGCAGCCAACGGAGACGCATCGATTGCGGCGGCGGAAGAGGCGAAGCCCGAGGATCGAACAGGATCGAGTTTGGGAAACCCTAGTTTGAGAGAATCGGGAGAGGAGGAAGAAGATGAGGTGGCGGTGGTAGAATAGAATTGGGAGTGAGAGAGTGATCTCTCGATGCCATAGTAGGTGGTGGAAATGCCTGGGAAGAGAAAGGTTGATTTGGAGTTAGGGTTTGAGGAGGTGAGGACTTTGGAAGAGAAACTCACTGAGTTTCTCAGCATCTTCAGGTTGGCAGATTTGCAGAGAGAGAGAGAGAGAGAGAGCAGATCGAAGGAGTTCACATGAGCAATGACGGTTTGGTGCACAGAATGTACAATCGTCACGGGGGTGGGGCTCACGTGCGACTCATTTTCATGTAAGACCGTCTTCGACACTTATTTTTTTTTATTATTAAGGATTGGTTTGGGATGTTCTAAAAAAGTGTATTTTTTGACTTATTGGCTTATATGGGTTGGGTTTGGATTGGGTTTGATGTGATGTGTTAGAGAGGTGATGTGATTTAAATAAGATGATGTGACTTAAATAAGATAGTGACTTTTTGACTTTTTGTATTATTTAGTAGATGCCAAACTTGGCTTAAATTTAAATTTAATTAAAAAAGTTTAACATTAAATTAATAAATTTAAATTTAAATTAATAAATTTAAATTTAAATTAATAAATTTAAATTTAAATTAATAAATTTAAATTTAAATTAATAAATTTAAATTTAAATTAATAAATTTAAATTTAAATTAATAAATTTAAATTTAAATTAATAAATTTAAATTTTTTTATTAAATTTATAGATGATCCTATGATCGGACATCCTCCCAAACATCTTCCTAAACACCTTCTTTCTTGCAAATTTGTCCTATAAATTATGGTCAATTTACATTAAACCAGTTGAGTGGTCGGACATCCGTCTAGTTATCCTCCCATTCAACCAATACTTTGATAAAAATTCAAAAAAATTCCATTAAAACATGCGATATTAGATAAAATTTTTATTAAATTTTAATTAAAAATAAAAAAAATAAACATTCGAGACGCTCTAAGAGAGTTGTGTATTATGCACACCAAGGGCCCGTTTGTTTTGGGGTGTAGAGAGTAGGATGTGATTAGAATGGAAATGGGACCCATTTAGTGTTGTTTTTGTTTGTAGATTTGGGGAAGAGATTGGGATAGAAGAGGGGATTAGGATGGAGGTTGGATTGGAAGGGGAATTCGGAGAGAAGAGGTGGAAGTGGTATTAGAAAAATAGTGAGGGAATTAGAAAAAATTTATTTTTTTTATTTTTGAAACGTTGGGCTTTTTTTTAAAAATATTAATGTTTAATTTTTTGTACTTTGTTATTTGTTTTATTATTTTATATAAAAAATAATTTAACAATTCTTACACTAACAATTATCATCAAAACAAATATAATTTACTTAATTCATTTACTATTTATCTCCTCACTATGAATCTTTTGCATTCTACATCTAACAATAAACGGGGCCCACATCTTTTGTACACTTAGCATTTCTCAGTTCATATAAGATGAGCTTCGTAACGACTAATGCTATATGTATTAATTAGTACACTAACTAGTGTACCAATTGATAATGTGACATAATTTAATATATTTTTGATATTTGTAATTTGTATAATGAGTGAGTTCAATAATGATATTATAACTAGTGTTGGTACACTAATTAGTACATGTAACACCACTCTGTGGTGACTCAGCGACAGGATAGAAATCAACCGACACAATTACAAGAAATTTCATAATTTTAATAATAAATTTCATAATTTTGATATAATTATATTAAATTTAAAAAAATTATTATCTATTTTATATTAAAATAAAATTTTTTATTTATTCTTATGTATTTACGTCATGTATATTAATTTCTGTCAATTTAATTTTATTAAAAAAAGTTGACGTGATTATATTAATAGTATAGAAGTTGTCATATTTTATTCAAACATTAAGGCCTAGTTTGGGAAGACTAAATAAGTGCACTTTTTGACTTTTTATGAAATATGGGTTGGGTTTAGGTTGGGTTTGAAGTGATGTATTAGAGAGGTGATGTGACTTAAATAAGATAATGTGACTTAAATAGGATAGTGACTTTTTGACTTTTTGTCTTTTTTCAATCTTCCCAAACTAGGCCTAAAAGAGGTAAATGTAAATTAAATTAACCTTTTTTTTTAAAAAAAAAAATTGTTATTTTTAGTATATATTTTTAGAGGAAAACATTTATTTTTAGGTCATATTTGTTTGGAATATTAGAGGGTGAGATTGGAATAGTAAGGAAGTGGGTTCCACTAACCCTTGTTTGGTGGCTTCCTTGTAGAGAAAGATTGCTACTTCAAGCGGCTTGCTAATTCCTCTTTAGGTGAATTTTGAGTGGGATTAGGAAAATAGTAAAGGGATTGAGTCTATTTTCTATAAAAAAATAAAAAATAAAAAATAAAATTATTTTTATTTTTTTGACCAAGTGCACCTGTTTGTTTTAATATTTGTTTTAGTTTTTTTTTTAACATAGAAATTATTTATTTATTTATTTTATATAAAATAATTTAACAATCCCATCACTAATCATCTCTAATGCTATTATCAAAGCAAACATACTTTTACTTAATCCTCTCACTAACAATTCTCACATTAACAATCTCTTCACTAACAATTCTTTCACTAATAATTCTATCCAATCTAATAAACAGATTTGAAAAGTAAATAATTTTTTATACAATTTCTTTTAAAAAAATTATTAAAAGCAAAACAAATCTATGAATTTTTTTAGGAGCATTTATTCATAAATTTCTTTTCATCTACTTATGTTCTACTAAATCCAAATTATTTTATTATATTCCAATAAATCTTATAGGTGACATACTTACCAAAATACCCCTCATAATATTATTCACACTAAAAATGTAAATTTTCATGATGTGAACATTCACACTGTCAAATATGAATATTTATATCACTAAATTGTTAAGCGTTCAAAAAATATTTATAAAAGTAAAATTGTCCATAAAATAATTTAAATATGAGAATTAAGATTTGATGGATCAAATGTCTAAATAATAGGACTTATTAAAAAAATATAAAAATACATTATGAATTAAAATATAAATACTTAAAAAAAATTTGTTGATAAACTTCCATTTTTTAAATATTGCCAGACAAATTAACGGAGAATAGTTGCGCCGCCTACCAATATATAAAAAGTCTCTTCACTATTTCGATGGGGAAGGAAATGAAGGTGTTGATTTATGAAACTAAAAACTAAAATTTAATAATAGAATATTAAATTGTTGTTAAACAAACACTTGTTACCATGGTTTTTGTTATTTTTAATAATTTATTTTATATGTTTTATTAATTTATCGTATTATGTGACACAATCATAATTATTAGAAAAATGATTGAGATATTTAATTTATTATCTTTAAAAATCATTTTAATGATATGTCTGATAAATATCAAATTTTAATTTGCCAAACATTTTATCGTGTTGGGTTTAACTTTAATATCACATTATTAGAAATTATTTAAATGTGATATATAAAAGAATGTAGTATTTTTGTAATTATTAATACAATAATATGAACTCTGCTAATTAAGAGGGTGTCGCTTCTACAAGTAAAATGTCGATAAAAACAAAACAAAATAGAAGGTAAAAATATTCATTTATCTATATATAGTCTATATATATATATATATATATTAATTCTTCATATTTATGAGAGAGTTATTGACAAATCTTTTATGTTAGAATAAAACTAAGGGTGCTCACGGATCGAGTGGCCTTCCATCCATCATCTGTTGTCCATTTGTTAAATTGGAAAAAATCAATCTGCATCCATCCGCTGAATTGACAGATGCGGATTGACGGATAAATGCAAATTGATTTGGAGGATTAAATTTTTATAAATTTTGAACATAATACAACAACTTATTAACATTTTTTTTTTTATAATAACCCAACTCAACATAAACAAAAGATTATCAAGTAAATTATCAAATACCAATAATAAATACATATTAGAAAACCATGCATTATCAAAACTATTTCATTACTTTTTTTTTATTCAAAAACTATATAATTTGATTTTTTTTAAAAATGACAAAATTAAGTCTTATATTTTTCATACAAAAATACCAAATATCAACTCTTACCATTTGATAAAAGGATTTCTAAATTGAAAATAAATTAAAAACACAACAGAATATTTAAACTCTTTTTCAACTGAAAATACAAACAGAATATCTAAACAAATTGAAAATACCAAATCTTACAAATTATTAGGGGTGCTTGCGATTTGGCGATTCGGTTGCGGTCAAAGAAATTTCAAATCCGTCATTTGTCAAAAACTAGGCATATTGAAAAAAATCAATCCGCAACCGTCCGCTCGTCATCACACATCCGTCCAAAATGCAACGGATCAGTTCAGTTCGGTCGGTTTGGACAAATCGGAATATTCGTTGCTCACCCTTAGTTAGAATTATGTTCTAGTTAGTTCCATAATTTTTTTTTGTGATCCATTTAGTTTTTTTGGATGTGTAATGACTCATTTCCCATTATAATCTCCTTAATTGTTGCTGTTTGTTAGAGTATTACGTTTGAAAAAAAAATACACCAAGAAATTTTTTGTATGTTAATTTTGGAGTGTTACATTTACATTTGGAAAAAATACACTAAAGAGTTTTTCTTATATTACATTGATTGGAGTGTTATGTTTAGAAAAAATACATTAAAGACTGTTTTTTGGAGTGTTCTGTTGTTACGTTTGGAAAAAGTATTTTAGAGTGTTATATTGGAGTAACGGAAAAGTGATCTCCCAATGAGGAAGAGCAAAAACATCCACCAAATCATATCAAAATTTAAAATAGTATCTCACGTTAAGGTTGTTAAACCAAACATGACCTATCAATAGAAAATTCGAGGGACTGATTGGAGTAACTAATTCCTGTATGGGACTTTATGATAATTTTCTCTATATTTATTTATGTTACTTTTTAAATTACTTATATGATACAAAATTTTAAATAAAAAAAATTATAAATAGCTCCATAAATTGCACAAAATAAGTTATAATAAGAGATGTGAGGTAAATTATAATCACCTCCTTGAGGTTTTTGACAATTACACTGACTGTCCTTACTCTTTTTGAAATGATACTGACCTCCCCCTGTGACTAACGGTGTTAATGGGACGATTAGTCACAGGAGGTCAGTATTATTTTAGAAAAAATAGGAAAGACCAGTGTAATAATTGTTAGAAATGTAAAGACCACAAATATTATAACTTGTATATTGTACACATAAAATTGTGTGTATTCTAGAATAACTTATTGTTATGACAAAAA